AAGCTATCACATAATTGTATCCATTATTCAATAAATTTTGTTCATATTATACTAATAATTTATTCCATCTAATGCTTTGAATTATTCAATAAACGCGACAATATTTTTATTTCCAATATCTTTGTTCTGTTCATCTAACTTGTCCATCGCCTGAGCCACCTACAAAATCCTTGAGTTTTACAAAAGCTAGTCGACTCTTGTAATTAGAAGGTAATAAAATTGGTGGCATTATTCATTTAGGTTTATTTTCGTTATTTTTCAATTCGTTTCAAAATTCAAGTTGTATTAACTCGCCTCTAAACTGAGCGATCGGTCTCTGGCTCGATTGATTGATTCGATCACAGTCATGAAAGTTTCTATTCAGTGTTGTTTAAACATGCCAGTGGTTGAGCTAACTTGAGCTAACAAAGTTGGAGCTAAGTGTTAATTAGCTTCAGATAAATCAGTTTAGTTAACTTCATAATATTAGCAGCTCACAATCATTTAATGCTATACAATACATGCGAAGAGTTAAAAGACACAATAAACACAATTGTAACATTTATGCACAAATTGACGCAAATGGGCAAAAACGGGTATTTATTTCCTATTTTGACTCTCAGTTTGTAGGGACAACTAAACTGAGTCCATTTGTCCAAGTTAAAGATTTCTCCAGTCGCTAGTTTACGAGAAAACCGCGTTCAAAGTTTAAACTTCGATCGCTTTTTGTGCAATTACAAAAGCAGATTTTTTCATGAAACTCATTTCGTGAATGGTCCTTTTGATGATGAACCAGAAAATGTACATATTTTGAGAAATAGAAACTTTCGTTTTCTGTGAAACAGATTAGTTCGATTTATAATTAAACCGATCCATTTCTGTTATTGTAACAGTTAGCGAACTGAAACTTATCTTTAGTATATAAAAATTGTTGGTACAAATCATGCATTGAAAACTTTTAACAATTTAACAACAGTTCTCTTGATTTTGGACATTAACCCAAAAACTTTGAACCTCGATATTCCGAGTATGGTAACATCTACAATCATCATTTTTTCACCAATGCAATCCTTTACTGATCAATAATTAAATTCAGCTCGATAAATTTCTATAAGCGCGGTTGGGTCTTAATTTTTGCGCTGTAAATGACTTGTAAACAGCTTAAACAACAAAACAAACTCATTTAAACCCATTTCTTGGTAAATAAAGCAATTTTCTGGTTAAACTTGCAAATGTAATGCAAAAAGGACTGCTAAAGACGCGAACATTTAAGCAAAAAGCTGAGACTTGGCGGATTTTCAGGGACATAAAAACTAAGTCCATCGGTACTATTAAATAATTTATCCGATGGACAGTTTTTGTAAAAATCGAGGTCAAAGTTGAGACTTCGATAGCCTTTTATTGAGCTATTAAAGCAGATTTTTTAATGAAACTCATTTTAATGATGTGACTTTTGATGGGCAACGAGAAAATGGTCTTATTTTAAGAAATAACATTTTCTTTTTTCGAAAAATAGATCAAGTCCGATTTTCAGTTAAACCGATTGTATTCTGTGGCCTTATGATTAAGCGAGCTGAAACTTGTTATTTGTGCACAAAAATTGTTGGAACACAGCATGAATTGAATGGTTTTTTCAGTTTATCGACTGTTCTCTAGTTAATGGCCATTAGCCTAAAAACTTTGACTCTAAATATATCGAGAATGACTCACAATCACCATTATTTGATCAAATGTTAACTTTTATCATGTGCTATGAGATATTGAAATATTGAATCATTCATGATCCTAGAATAAAAAGCTATGGTATTGTATTTGTTTGTGTTGCCAGATTTGAGTTTGCATTATAAAGCTAAATGGTTTCTCAAAAAAAAATCTAATGTGATACAATGATATTCATTATAAATCAATCAGTTCAGCCATAAATCGGTATTTTCGCATAACTTATAATAGCCCATAATAGTATCTAATATTTGATCAAAGAATGCAAGTTTTAGGGGCTACGATTCTCGAAATATTGAGGCTCGAAGTTTTCAAACCAATGGCCAAATGCAAAAGAACTGTCAGTAAATTGAAAAAATTAATTGATCCATGATAGTCGCCATTAATTTTTAAAGAGAAATAATAATTTTCCGTACTCTAACTGACACGCTTCGAGACAAACTGAAGTTTAAATGAAAATCGAACTTATATGATTTACAGAAAAAGTAAAAGTTTTTTCCTCGTAATAACTTCTTTTTTGGGTTAATCATCCAAAGTTACATCAGTAAACTGTGTTTCATGAAAAAATCTGCTTCCATAATTGCAGAAAAATCGATCGAAGTTCAAACTTTAAACGCGATTTTCTCGTGAGTTAGTAAACTAGAAATCTTTAACTTTGACGAATGGACTCAGTTTAGATGTCCCTATAAACTAACAGACTTTGAATTTGAAAGAAATCAATTTTCACCGCTTTAAGCCCATTTTTATTGCATTATTTTGTCATTTTGTGTCAATTTGTGCAGAAATGTGTTTGTTGTGTCTTTTTAGTATTATTTATTGAACAAGATCACTGTGATAGCCCGTTATTTACATCACAACAAATCTGATGAGTATAAAAGGTGAATGAATAAAATTTGGATCAAAACGAATTAGATTTTATTCAAAATGCTGAACAAATATTAAGGTTTCAGTCTATTAATGGTTACTAAAAAGCAGAGATTGTCACAATTGATACATTTCTGCACAAATTGACACAAAATCAACAAATAATGCAATAAAAATGGGCTTAAAGCGGTAAAAATTGATTTCTTTCAGATTTAAACTCTGTTAGTTTATAGGGACATCTAAACTGAGTCCATTCGTCGAAGTTAAAGATTTCTCTAGTCACTAGTTTACGAGAAAATCGCGTTCAAAGTTTAAACTTCGAATGCTTTTTCTGCAATTATGGAAGCAGATTTTTTCGTGTAACTTATTTTACTAATGGTCCTTTTGATGTAAAACCCAACAATGGAGTTATTTTGAGAGAAAAGACTTTTATTTTTGCGTAAATCAGATCAGTTCGATTTTTAGTTAAACCGACTGCTGTCTGTGGCCGTAAGAGTTAATAAGCTGCAACTTAGTATCAATCCATAAAAATTGTTAATGCACATCATTGATCGAACGCTTTTTGCAATTCATCAGTAGTTCGCTTGATTTTGGCCGTTATCCTAAAAACTTTGACCCTAAATATTTCGAGAATGAGTTACATCTAAAATCACCATTCTTTCTCTAATCATTAGATTTGATCATGGGCTATAATACATTGAGATATTGAATTATCTACGGACCCTACGGAAAAAGTTATAGCATTGTATTACTTATGTTGTCAGTTTGATTCTTCATTTATAAAATTAAATCGGTACTCAAACAAATGCATTTCATAACTAGAATGATATTCATCATTCAATGAATTAGCTTGGATTTTATATGATATTCAGTCATAACATATTAAAGCTCATAATAAAAGTTAACATTTGATCAAATAATGGTGATTGTGAGTTATGCCATTCTCGATATATTTAGGGTCAAAGTTTTAAAACTAATGGGCAAAATCAAGCGAAATATCGATGAATTGACAAAAGTATTCAATCGATGATGTGTGCCAGCAATTTTCATGGACTGGTAATAAGTTTCAGATTGCTAACTCTTACAATAACAGACAACGATCGGTTTAACTGGAAATCAAACTGATCTGTTTTACACAAAAAGAAAAGTTCTGTTTCTTAAAATAAATATATTTTCTGGTTTCTCATTAAAAGTTACATCAGTAAAATGAGTTTCACGAAAAAATATGGTCGCACAGTTGCACAAAAAGCGATCGAAATTTCAATTTTGAACTCGATTTTCTTGAGAAATATCGATCAGAGAAATTTTCAAATCACACAATTAACTCATTTTAAATGTCACTACAAACTAAAAGAGTCTAAATCTAAAAGGAAATTGAATTTTACCCGTTTTTGCCCATTTTTCTGGCAGTATTTGTTCATTTTTTGACAATTGTGTCTTTTTATATTATTAGTATCAACCTATTTAAGTAACAACCTATTAGCTTAATATAGCCACTAAATATTGGTAAGGTTACAAGAAATTTGAAAAATTATTTTAAATATTTTACTTTGCTTAATGTCATCTATTCCCTGTTTTTGACGTAATTTGTGACATAATTTCTGATTTATGGGAAATATCGGTTTATTTTTAATAATTAAATTTACTGGTTTATTAAGTTTCAATGTGAATCATCTATAATGACGGAAATTTATCAAGATTATTTGAAAAGATTTGAAAGTTTACTAAGATCAAAGTTATGAAACCATAATCCTTCTTTAAATTGACAGATCGCAATAATTTATCTGTATTAAAAGTGTACATGGAACTAAAAGGGAAGTTAAAGGTAAATTGTTTTTTGGTGAAATAATGCCAAAAAATGTGAGTTGAAGAGCTTTTATTGACTTTACAATATTCAATGAAATAAAACAAAATATAGCATGGATTTGTTGAAATATCGAAATGTTAGCACAATGATTATCTATCAGAATGGTTCAAGGTGAAGATTTAAGGTTATTTTAAGGTGAAAATGTTTACCGAGAAAAGATGATTCAGGTTAGAAGAACAGTTGTACTGAGTTATAAGTGTATTTCATATGATATCAATTAACTTGAAATACTTAAACATTATATATTATGCAATAAAATACAATATAACAATATCAAACCAATCTGATGATATTGTTGGTGCAAAAGCATTGGACTTGGACTTTATAAAGGCTGTGAGTACATTTATTACATAACAGTAATGTATTACAATTTGATAACCCACTTGACACGTTAATTTTGATGAGCGTTTCCATGTTAAGATTTCTTTATTAATCAGTCAATCACCATATTTTAGACAATTAACGCTGAAAAAATAGAGGCATAAATAAATCTAAAGTTTTTAAGAGCTGAACAATTCATATCATAATTAAATCGCTAGAGTTTACTAAAGAAACTTGTAAAAGGCAAAAATTGTATGAAAATTACATTTTATTATAACCTTAAAAGTGATGATTATCTTAATAATTTTGTTCGTTACACAGAAAATTTTTAAGGCTTCATCAAAAGCTGCCCATGGTTGAACATTAATCTGTATAATTCATCGGCTCCCAACTGCTGTTGATGTAGATTCAATTTACGTCCTTCGGGATGGTTGTGTAGTCGAAACGGGAAATCACAGTTTGCCTTATATCAACCCATCTTTGTTATATGCACTTTTATGTTCTAAACAACGTGAAGTCGATCATTTTTTTGCTGACTAAATTTTTCTGTGATCGTTGTTAATTTGTATAAAAAATTAAAGTTGTCTGTTTTTATTGTCAAACCTTCAACTTGAAACAGGTTAGTATCAGAGGAAATTATAAGTTAATCAACCTAATTTCTCATAATATTCTTTCTACCATTCTTGGGTTATTTTCACAAGAAGGTAAATTACAAATTTTCTCCAAGAATATCAAAGTTTTTAAATTAATTGACAACGTGAGTTAAAAATACTGATCTATGCTCAAATAAGAATATTGTAGAAAGTCAGAGAAAAAATGATTTTTAAATTTTGTATTAACCAATTTGCAGTCGATGAGTATTTCACATGTTTGCGCTATACGGTTCAACGTAGTTTGCCGGTAACATACCAGACATACCAGTTCTTTGAACGGTCCCTGTCATCCAACCTTGATCAATTGATTGACAGTTAATAATAAGATCACCTTCACGGAAGCTAACTTCATCGTTATCTTGAGCAGTATAGTCATACATTGCTCGAAATGATTTGCTACTTGGTAACCGATAGCCAACATTATTAATAGCTTGCTGCCCCATCACATTTGGCGTTGAAAGAGGTTGATCTAAGGTGAAGAGAATCGGAAACAATAGATATTAATAAATAATGATATATAATAAATAATAATATATAAACTGATGACGAAGCAGTATTGGCCTAATAAGTTGAAAGATGAACTACAGAAATTTTTCTGCTTCGCCATAATACTGTTTTGTCCATATTAAGTTCATTAAGAAGGAGATAGAGGAAGATTCGGAAGAGTCTAAAACAGAAAAAAATGAAAGTGAATAACATTTATCATTTGAAATACAACATTTTAATCGTTTTGAACCTATGTATTCAAAAATTAGACACATGAAGAAATACGTACGGTAGTTTCGGGTAAAACTTACTATAGTATAAAGTTGTTTGATTTTCTCGTCGATATCCAGAAGCAATCGATCCAAATCTGTCATTCATTGGATCGTATTCCGCAATTGAGCCTACCTTGTGAGCACCAGTATCGTTAACTGAAAAACAAGAGAGAATAAGAAGTGATTAAGTTTATTAACTGAAATTTTCAAAGATTGAACTTTCAATAGTTCGTGGATATTAAATTGAAATGAAATTAAATTATTAAACTCCGCCTTATAAGGGGACATTAAAAAAGTAAGCATATTATGTGGATGGTGACTGTACATAATTGAAAGGTGCACTCTACCATTGGTAATTCAACTGATCAAAATAGATGGATTATAAATGAGATCACATGAAAGAAAACTTGTAATTAGATTGATTCATAATCGTAGATGACAACTTTGAAACACAATACTTCAAACTGGAAAGAAAAAGTAGAATCTAGAAATTTTGATGCTATCCAAATATTTATGGAAACGATAAGTTTAAATTGAACTTACCTTGATTAATTGTGACAAGAGAAACTCCAGTGGCATCAGGTAAAAGACTTCGTTTCTCTTCCATTTGTTTCTTTTTCTCAAATTCACCATGATAAGCAGCATTGCTAATCATTTTTGATGAGTTTAAAATTCTCAGAGTTTCTGGATCATCGGCAACTTGAGTGACTTTTCCTTTGAGTTTCTCAAAATCTTGATGATATTTAATGTTACTTTGGATTCTAGTATTTTCAGCAAGGCGTCGAGCTTCAGGTGTATCAGCAACTGCGGTATACTTAACTTGTGGTACATGGGCATTACAATAGGGCAATTTGTTGTAACCCTTGTAGGTTTTAAGGTTAAGAGTCATTCCACATCCTTGACACTTGAAGCAAGTTTTGTGCCACACTTTGTCCAAACATTTTAGTTCTTCAATAGGATAGACACGCTTTTCACAACGATTACATATATTATTGGCACTCATGTTTACACTAAAGGAGAGATTTTTTCACCTGATAAATGGCGTTTTAATTTTGCCAGTTGAAAGATGTAACAAGACATCTAATAAAAGATAATTACTAAGAGTATACAAGAATCCGAAAAGGGCTTTACCTAATTTAGTACACCCATATCAAAATATCTAATGCGAGATCAGATACTAAAGAATCTGATTACAGTGCAAAAAGTTTGAGCAAAAGCCAGAGACTTAAAGCGGTTTATTCAATCATGTGATCTACCTTACATGTGTTTACTAATACAATAAATGCCATGTAATTTATGTTTAGCCATTTTGATTGCTTTCAATTTGTTTCCAAATAAAATTAGAATCTGATAAATAGCTCTAGGTCTTGTACCAACCATTTTATCACATCCGTTAAACAAATATGATAAATCTTGTCACCAAGATGGTGCAAGTGAAACTAGTTTTTTTAATTCCTACGATTAAATATATTTCATCTTACTTTACAGGACTAATTAACGAGGTAAGTTTTTGTTCGATCAATCTCAAAAACTGTCATAACCTAGACTTTGTAATTAGTGTTAGAATATGTTATCAACCCGATACGATGGGAAATTTTATCGATAAATTCTCTGCAAAAGATGCCGATGATTATCAATTTCGTCTATTGCTATTAATCATTGAAATAACTTGTACTTTGTTCCTTTTCTTGATTTTACGACTTCCTCATGTACAAAATTTATCTTTCTTTTCATTTTTTGATACAAGCTAAACTATTTCTGTTTTTATTTACAGAGATGGTTCTTGTTACTTGATTACTATGGGGACAGTGAGAAGATTTGCATCAACTTGATGGACCTACTCTTTTACTGTTTACATTATAAATGTATTTATGGATAATCCTTGAGTAATCTTTCATGCCAGTTTTAAAATCTAAAGTTCTTGATTCAGAAGTTTATATTTTCAATGGTTTTTACTGATTGATAAACTGTCTTGAGATTTTACAAAAAACAATAGTTTCATAACAATTAAAAATTACTTAAGAAACTGAATTTTCGATCTTGTATAATTAGCCTTGGCTTGGTTTCTTAATTGATTCATTTCTATGAATTTGATTTATTCAGTTCGTTGTAGATGTGCCAAAAGTCCTTTTGATGTCTAGTAAATTTCTTGTTTCAATCCGTCCCGAAGTATTTCTGTCCAAAATGGTTTGGAGCGACTGGATGGACTTCCGTGGTATGAACTGTCATTGATGGAAAAGCTTTGGTGACAACAGAAACCGCTGGCGATTAAAAAAAAGATGATTTTGGTCAAAATTGAAGATTAAAGAGAATAGCTCGGGATAATATTCTTACATACCTGATGGTGTACAGAAAAGATTTAACAAAATAATATTTGACTCTTTGACATTATGTTCTTTCAAAACATTAACAGCTTTTATCACAGTATTTCCGGTGCTCATGATTGGATACATGAGAAGGACTTTACGCATAGCAATATCTTCCGGAAATTTGGCGTAAAGAACCCTGGCCTCATGTGTATCTTCATCGCTTTGAATGAGTATTTTACCAATTCTTATAGATCGACAACAATCTCGTAATCCTTGTTCCATTGCTTCACCACTTCTAACAATGCTTACACCACAGTTGCCTTTGAGAAATTTAAGCCCATTGTAAGTTTCGCCAGTTGGTGTGACTATGTCCATTTCACCATAAGGTAAACTATTGAGACCTTCTTCAACAACTAATCTAATCAACCGGTCAGCATTGAAAACAAAATCACTTCTAGCAGTGTTACGATCGCGTATAACTGTCTGTAACTCTTTTATCTGATCATTGATTGGAATCATTTTAAAATTGGGTCCAAAATTTGTTCGACCATTAAGTTTGCTATCTATATCTAATATATCATTATCCATAGTTAAAAGTTCCAATATATTGTCATCTGTTAACCTAAGCATGAAGAGTGTAGAATAATGTTATACAATGATTGTTAGATGGGGGAATATCAATTCAGGTGGTACCTGAAATATCAACCAAGAAAATGGATTAAAATAAAGGTATGAAAATCGTGATAATTACCTTATGGTCACAGACACCTTACCTTTCGAACAAAGATATGGAATATCACAGGTAATCTTTGATTGTAAAGTTACAAATCAAAATACTGAGTAGTTAATACTCAGTCACAGCTGTTGACAAAATGAAGAATGGCAACACAAATGGAAAGAGCTAGTTTCTTTTAAGATTATCAACTCTTAAATTGTAGATAATAATTATTTAAACACTAGCCTTTAAGTAGTCAACAGTTTGATAAAAAGTATAAAATAAAATTCCAAGGAAGATTTTCTAATGAGAAGACAATAATTTACTGACTGTAACAAAAAAAACAGACTTGAACGCTGAATAACTAGAAAACATATGTTGACCATATGATTTGTGTTGACTTTTTATTCAAAACTGAGTTTCGGTTTAAAGTTGGTTCTGTCTTCCTATTACCAGAATGGATAATCTTGTTAAAGGTGAGTAATTATTTCATAAATTTTATGCATTTAGGTCTTATCCACACTTTCAACTAATACATTATTCCAGTAACATGTAACTAGTCAATTCAGATTTTGATCTTTTCTATTAACTCTATTCAATGCCTTTCTTATAAATTGAGAACTTTTCAAACATTTATTCTTTGGTTTTATTGTTCTATGTTTATTGATGTCTTATTTTTAATAATCTGTATTCTTTCTTAAAGATTGAACCTTTCTTACATCTTTTCTAACTTTATATTTATTTTTTGTTGTCTAGATGCGATTGCAAAGAAAACCGATTCTGGTAGACCAGGCTGTAAAAAATGTGGTCTTTTTGGCCATTTTACGTACCAGTGTAGGAATGACTTTGAAATAATTAGTAAACAAAGCCAGAATTACGATATTGATGTTAGCAGTACAAGTTCAGATTCTGACATGGAGGATTTACCTCCAATGGGATCATCAACTTTCTCGGCAGGTCTTTCATTGGAGCAGAAAAAATCCCAACCTGTTGAAATTATACCTCGGTATCTATAGGTTCTTAAATTTTAATTTTAATCATGCTAATTATTTGCTTATTTTCTTCTAGTCCCGAGTCCCATCATAAACCCGATTCTGATGCTGAGGAAAGTCACAAAAGATCTAGATCAAAGAAACGAAAGAAAAGCAAATCTCGAGAAAGAAGTAGAAGTAAAAGCTCTCATAAAGGCTCACATAAAAGCAAGAAGCATAAACGGAAAAGATCAAGATCTCATTCAAAGTCCCACCGAAGCTCAAGATCACACCATAGCTCAAGCTCACATAAGCATAAAAGTAGGAAAAGGAAATATTCATCGGATTCGTAGGGAAACTAACAATGAATGACTTGTGTGTTGATGAAATATTCACCATTTTATCAATGCTAGAGCAAATCTTTCAATATCGTTTGGAGGCGAATTGAATAAACATGAAATTGTTGATACATTGTATCTCACATCTTCAGGAAATCTGATCCGAACTTTTATTCCAATTTTTCATTTTTACTCACAATTGTCGGATTAATTTATATTTTCTCACAATCAAACATCATACTCATTCTGCGTATTTAACGCAGGATTCAAAATAATTTACATTTTTCAACAGAAACCATAAAAGGCAGGATCGAAACATTAATCCAGTTATACCAATGTCTAAAGCAGCCATTCAATTATCAGAAATTGGAAGATACATTACAATAAACAATTGGACATTACATTGCTCATCTTTCATATCAATGCATGGATTGTAAATTATGAATCTTTCTGACCTGTCTAATCAACCATTAAACTACTAATACAAATCATAATTTTGCACATAATATATCTTTTATTGATTTAAAATCTTCGATATACTCCAAACAACACCCATTAGGTACCAATCTTATCTGATTCAGTTTAGGTACCAAGAAAGATGGACGATTGTTTATTTTATCACTTTGTTATAATGAAAAAATTTTTTTTGATGAAATGTTAAATTTTGATGGCACATGTACATTATTTATTTTTAGTATGACTAATTGTATCCAAAAAATATATAAAGAGCAGCAACTTCATCAGAAAGATGATTCCTGGAAATTTATTGTAAGATGATATCGCGATTGATAATTTAAATGGTTAGTAAAGAAATGCTGAAGAAAATCAGGTTAAATGTTATCGGTTATGGTTAAACGGTTGCAGCAGTTAATGAAGATTCTGTATGTGTATAGAAAGAAAGTTGTAAGTGGATTGCTGTGTAATGTGTTTGCCTCATCACCAGCCAGCCAGCAGTTTTTACCATCACTGCCACTATAGAAAATCTGGTTTTGCCTTATTCCAGTTGATTGTTATCAACCTTCAATTGTTATTTTAATTTTGAATCTTTGGATTTATATCTTTTTAAGTTAATTTATTAATTAGTATAGTGTAATTTAAAAATGGCTTCTAAAGGCCCTATGGTACAAGGAACAGATGGAAGTGATCATCTTCACCGACAAACTATTGCCCTTCACTATTCACAAAGGTAAGCTCCATATTTTCAAAACAGATGATTTATTTTTAATAACGTTTAAACCAATATGTTGAAGTTAACCAGTATTAATCAAATGGTTAAATTGTGCAAACTGGTGCTATTTGAAATTGGTTAACTTAATAGTTAACTAACACTGTTAGCCAAATATGCACAGTTTGCTCAAAAGACAGTGATAAAGAGAGTGATAAGAACTGATAGAAAAAGTCAAAATTAAAATAAGAAAACTAAAATGAAAATAGGAAAACCCATTGAAAGCAATGGAAAATCAAGACAAAGTTATGTCTTAAAAATTAAAAAAACTGCTGAGCTAAGATTACATATTGGTTTAAATCGGTTAAACCACAATATCTCGAAGCTATGAGATAAAACACTCGGGTTCGCCCTCGAGTTTATATCTCATAACTTCTCGATGCAGTGGTATCACTTACCATTATTGTAGTCTAATTATCTAATCTACATTCTTTTATTCATTTCTGTCCAGTGTCATTAATAAATCTAGGTTGAAATGGTCAATAACCATGCATTATTTACTTTTTGGTTTGATGGTGGCTAAATTAACAGATGATATTTTAGACCGTTTTGATGTTTTCATTCTCGAATTACAACAACTTTACATACCCAAACCAATGATATGGGAATGGATTTGGACATTATCAGTGTTTTTTAATTACATAGCCAGTAAAGCAATGAAGAAAAACAATCCAACATCAATGAAATTTTATCTATTTATCATCAATTTAACAGCAATTTTTCCCGTTTTCTACGCCATGATAGTTTATTTATCCGACTTTTTGGTGTACTTTGAAACACGAGATGTTACAAAAGTTACTCATGTTTGGAATAAGTATCCTCTGGCAGTGATTTGGTACGGATTCCTCCTGGTTGCTTTACAAGTTCATTTGGCTCAATTTGTGTTTGCCTATAAATTAATTAAGGTTTGGTCTTTAAAGAAAAGAAGAGAGTAAGAATATACAGTAAGTGAACACATTCTTAGCAAGTATCAACTAAGCTTATCGAATAAAAGAGTAAATGCAAATTGTATGACAAAAAGAACATATCGATATATTGAGGGAAATGATTAGATGAGCCATTAATCAATGTATTAAGGTTTGTTTGATACAGTTCGAAATAAATTCAATTGCATTTCTTTTCAATATGCAATTTTATCTGTTTAATACCATATTTTTTCGCATTGGAATGAGTTTGATGAAGCTTGCATATCAAACTAAGCGAATGATTAATCATGTTCGTAAGAGCTATGGCCAACGATAAGCCCTGAATTTCTCGAGCGACCTTTTCGTTAGAAGCAGCCAATATGCGCCTGGACATTAAATTGAAAGGTCCACCTTCTGGATCAAGAACAGTTCCACCAGCTTCCTGGATGATAATCGAGCCAGCCGCTAAATCCCAACAGTGTAGACCATACTCAAAATAAGCATCAACATAACCATTAGCCAGCATGCATGCATTAAGAGCAGCTGATCCTAACGATCGTACTCCCTGACATTTCCATCCAATAGCGGCTAAATTTCCAAAATAAATTTTCTGATGCTCATCGGTTCGATTGCTTCCTAGTTCATTGATTAGTAAGGCTGATTTGAAGGAATCACAATGTCTTACGTGGATAGGCTCACCATTACAATAAGCACCTTGGCCTTTTTTAGCAGTATATAATTTGTTCAAGAAAGGTGAATAAATCAAGCCAAAAATGACCTCTTTGCCAACAGTCAATCCAATGCTGATGCAGCAAAACGGAAAGGTATGAACAAAATTCATGGTTCCATCAATAGGATCAATAATCCATGTTGGACAGTCAGTCAAGTTGACTTTGCCAGTAAAAGATTCTTCACCAATAAATCTGTGATCCGGAAATCTTTTTTTCAGCTCGTCAAAAACTAGTTTTTCCACGGCTTTATCTGTTTCAGTAACCAAATCAACAGGTGATAGCTTGGTTTCAATATTAGTATTTCGTCCACTTGTTTCCATCATCATGAGTCCAGCCCTTTTAGCCAATTCAATGGCAATTTTTTCACATTCTCTGAGTTGATCAGGATTCATGTTGGTTGTCTGAAGAAATACAATAAAATTAGCTTTAAAAAAGATATGTCATGTCATAAATTCAATGCATGTAAAATAGATACTTACATAGGTTTAGATTGCCCACTAAATTTGATAAAGAGATTCAGAAAACTAGCGAGTAGGTGATGTTTAAAGTCTCTCAACTAACTGTAAACAAGAACAATTGAATACAATTTTACTGTATAGCGGATAGATTCCAGATCCTCCTAGATGTGAAGTGAAAAAAAATCAAATGATTATGAAGCAACAGATCTCATCTTGGTTTCATTGTCTTTGTTGCTTCATTATCATCTTAATCAATATCGTAAAATTTTGTAATTAAGGAAAAATAAGCTTTCTTGTTACCTCCTTCATTCGTGCGGTTTTAAGCGTTACATCCTTCAGTATTATCGTGATATGGGGGAATATCAATTCAGGTGGTATCTGAAATATCAACCAAGAAAATGGATCAAAATAAAGGTATGAAAATCGGCATAATTACCTTATGGTCACAGACACCTTAACTTTCGAACAAAGATATGGAATATCACAGGTAATCTTTGATTGTAAAGTTACAAATCAAAATACAGAGTAGTTAATACTCAGTCACAGCTGTTGAAACATATGATGACCATGTGATTTGTGTTGACTTTTTCATTTGAAAACTGAGTTTTGGTTTAAAGTTGGTTCTGTCTTCCTATTACCCAACCTTTCTCCTAAAGTCCCACCACAGCTCAAAATCACACCATAGCTCAAGCTCATATAAGCATAAAAGTAGGAAAAGGAAATATTCATCGGATTTGTAGGGAAACTAACAATGAGTGACTTGTGAGTTGATGAAATATTCACCACTTTATCACTGTTAGAGCAACTCTTTCAATATCTGTTTAGAGGTGAATTGAATAAACACGAACTTGATACATTGTATGTCACATCTTCAGGAAATCTGATCCGAACTTTTATTCCAATTTTTCATTTTTACTCAGATTATTTCATATTTTCTCACAATCAAACATCATACTCATTCTGCGTTAAATAGGGATTCAAAGTAATTTACATTTTTAAACGGAAACCATAAAAGGCAGGAGCGAAAAATTAATCCAGTTATTCAGTGTCTTAAGCAGCCATTCAATGATTAGAAATTGGAAATACATTACAATAAACAATTGAACATTACCTTGCTCATTATTCATATCAATGCATGGATTGTTAATTTACAAATCCTTCTGCCCTGTCTAATCAACCATTAAACTACTAATACAAATCATAATATATTTTTTATTGATTTAGGGTCTTCGATATACTTTGAACATTACTACTAGAAGTAGATCTTTCAAGTTGAATGTTTACAAAATTATATAAATTTCATCAACAGAGGTTTATGCGTGTAATAGATGATTTAAAATTTACTTTTAGTCAAATGTTGCCTTGAAAACAATTTGAATAGAGAGGACTGTAATTGTCATCGAAAAGTGAACAAAATTGGATTCTATTCAAGAACTAAACTGGTTACAAAATGACATGTTATTTTTAATTCAGTAAGCTCAAAGACCTTCCTAGTGATGATTCCATTGTTGTAATGGGTAAAATAAATTTCAATAATCATCTATGACGAGCAAAGTCTCCACAATAATATACTTTTATAATCAATTCAATTATCTCTTTTTTAGCATCAAAAAAGGAGACAATTATGAAAACAATAGTAGCTCGAGAATTGAATGAACAATTAATAATTATTTGGAAAGTTATTGTTAAAAATCAATAGACAAAGGTTAATTATTTAGAACAATGATAAAGATGGAAACAAAAGGATTAACATTATTACAATGAATCCTACATGTATCGCACGAGTTACATTATTAGTCGTAAATTCAAATAAAATGCAGATATGAATACTAAAGGTTGAAAGTGAAATCACAATTTTTAATGGCGATCAATTGGTTAATTCAACTCTGACTATATCTGTAACCGCTATTCTGGTTTCTGGATACTAACAATCAGTAAGTAATCAGTAAAACGATCGATCTCAAAATTTTTAGTTATTCAACCTTATTTTAGATCTCGTGCAAAATATTATTGGGATATTGATTTAATTAATTGAATTTCAAGCAATTTTAACAAAATTTATTAAGATTTTAACTCGAGTAAAATGATATTCATAAAGTACATTAAATGGCCTTCCATTAAGGGTTCATCAAATCTTAGTAGAGGTTCTCATTAGTATCAATTTAATATATAATCTTTTTTAGACATTAAAGGGTTTTGCGTGTTACTCCTGATTATCTTATCCGAATGGAGATTAAACAATAATTTGATAAAGATTATAATGTCCTACACATGGTTGAGGTTAAGATTTCCATCATGCATTGCCATCTTTATCAGTTTTTGATCTCCATTTGTATAAGATAATTGGCAGGAATAACACACAACACCCTTTAACATTAGAGGAAAATAAAACATGATTCAACATGTTGACTTTTATGGAAAATCTTGGATGAATTTATTAATTCACGAGATCAATGAATAAGTTATAACCCGAGGAAATATTATTCACAGATTTGATATATTTTTGATGCCCAACTTTCATTAAAAACGTTTTTCTCCATGAGACTTCAAGTTTCACCATTAAGATCCAAGATAAACATCATGTTGTTTTATTTATGCCAAATGAGGATTGCATTTAATGAACATGGTTCGTAAAATGGCGAATGACTGGCTATGGCTGAAAAGTCTGCAATATTGATTCAGGGTTGCAAAATTATTGATGAAAGGGTTGATTGTGTGTGCATTGATAGGCCTCTCTTTGTTTCAAGATGTTCCAAGAAAACGTTATAAGTTAGTGAATTAGGTGCCTTGAATGAATTCACAGTGATTGATTGGGCAGTCTATTAAATAAGTCTTTGTACAAAATGGTACATTTTTCATCGCTAAAGGTTGCCATTGGTTGACGTTGAATTTGTGTTTTGAATGACTCCAAATAAATGGCCAACCAGCGCCATTAGATGTTCCAATTTAGATGAATGTTCGGTCATATTATTATTAATAGTGGAAAAACTCCTCAACAGTCCGTCCTCTGTTTGTGATAAGGAGTTCATTTTTTCTTCCAAGTGACTAATATTGGAACTCAAGGCATTGAGTTGAAACGATATATTATTAACTCGATTGGTTATCCAAGAAATATTTGGTTTACTTGATAAGACTGTAGCTGTAGTTGATACAGATTGATTACTATCGTTTGTCTCGGAATTAACTGGTTTACTCATATTATGACAGGCACTTAAATTGGTTGATAATGTAATGATCAGACTATCATGTTCTTGAGTTTTCTTTTTTAATGCTGACAGCGTTGTTGCCATCCCATGATAATGGTCATTAAATGATCTTAATTGAATTTGAAGGAGTTCTAGACGAGTTTGCATGCTAATAACAACAAATATCAATGCAACAAGAGTTACGAAGCCTCCAAACGCTGAAAATATTTTAATTAAATGGCAAAGTTGATTAGGTCGGTTTACTCTTCTATCATCTCGGTAATAACCATTTCTGTAATTTAAGTTGTGGTCCTTGGCTCGACGTAATTTCTTCTTGAATCGCACCTTTTTCCCCTTTATACCAACATCGTTGAGTCCTTTGCCGCATTGATTTATTAATTCATGAGATGATGACGAGGAAAGTGATGAAGTTGATAATTGATCGAGTAATGTCTCATGAGCATTACGTGACTTATTTATTTCAATCCATTCTTGAAAATCTTTGGCATTTTGGGTTTCTTTGAAACCATCATTTGACGAGGCCATGATGATAATTTGTCAAAGTAAACGAGACAAATTTAAGGATTGAAAGTTAAAGTTGAAAGGAACCTTGAGCAGATGAAGAAGTAAAGCAAATTTTGCAAAACGATGAACGAAACAGCTCTTTTCACATCACAAGAGTGCCGTAAATCAAATATTTGTTGATAATATTCAAATCGTTTTCATTGTTTTCTGGCAGAATCCTGAAGGTAAGTTTAAAGGTAACACAAAAATAAAGATGATAGTAGATATCAATTTTATCTGATTCAGTTTAGGTACCAAGTAAGATGGACGATTGTTAATTGTATCACTTTGTTATTGCGAAGAAAAATTTTTTGATGGCACATGTACGTTATTTATGACTAATTGTATCCAAAAAATATAAAGAGCAGCAACTTCAACACAAAGATGATTCGTGAAAATATATTGTAAGATGATATCGCGATTGATGATTCAACTGGTTAGTAAAGAAATATTGAAGAAAATCAGGTTAAATGTTTATCGGTTGCAGCAGTTAATGAAGATTTTGGTAGATGTTGTTGATAATAATGTTAATAGCAGGATCGAGCAAAAACAATTGGGTTAATTTTAAGGTTTTTATCATTAAACTATCAAAGTATCAACAGTATAAGTTGAAAAGAAAGTTTAAATGGATTTGAGAAAAAAAAATAAATGATCAAATTGTGAAAAAAGAAAAAAGATAACCCAAGTGAATCAAATGAATAGTAACAATTTTATGATTTCACACTAAACCAACACACCAAGGAAAAAATGTTTCAAGTGAGAAAGAGAGAGAAAAGAGAAGATAGAACCCAAAAGATAGGTAATGAATAAGAGATATTTCAATAGTATTGTTTGGTCGTTAGATGTCTCTTAACATGGGTAAAGTAGCATTGAATTGTGAATGAAACTGGTTCGCAATTCAAATGTTGATGACGGAAATGCGATAGAAAGCCTGTTCGACCATTGAAGATATCTTATTATTCCATAGGCTAGCAGCAAAACAGAGGAAGATAGATAGACAGGGGGATGTAAGTTGCTTTTTTAGAGTGATGATGTTAATACATGGCTGATGATATAACCTTGATTGTTGTTATAGACTACACACACAAGTCTAACACATTGGTCGATTGAGGTGGAGTTCACCACCAATACATAACAAGAATGGATTGAGTGGTTTGGTTAAAGCATTAGTTATTCTGAGAGATAAGTGTCAATAAACAATTTAATGTTGAAAGGATAGAAAGATATATATTTTATAGAAGATGAGAATGTAATTCACTATTGCGCTGATAATAAAGGTTGAGACACATCAAGAGAAGGCAATTGTAGCTGGTGTTAGTTAGTAGTAATTAGGGTAACATGATAATCACAATAAACAAAATGGTGTTGTTGGTGGTGATGTTGAACAAAATGAGAAAAACGTTGATAACAGCAACAGCAATAACAACAAACGAATGAAGAATCTCCCTCGCTTTCTCTCTCTCTCTTTCTTTCTCCAATTTGCTCACTTACTCTTGAATTATCTTCCAGTGTTTCATTTCCAATCCTTTAATATCTTTTTTCAACTGATTGTATCACTGATTGAAATTAACAATGAAAAACAACATTTAATCCATTTCCTTGTTTCCTTGGTGTACGAAAACTCAACAGATGATTGGCAACCAATCAATATGACCACCATTTTGGAGGGAAATTTGTCTTGCTTTTTCCTACTGACACTTTATTATTGACACTTTGCCAATAACCTGACATTTGCGTCTCAACCTAACACTTGCAACTAAATTAATCAAGTTCTAGTTAACTAATCAATTGGAGAAAATTTTTGACCAATTGCAATACAATGAAACATTGAAATAGAGCCACCAAATCAACAACTTAGCATCATTTTACCTTGATTGATGGCAACAATGAAAAATCAACTTACACCTAAAAACCCAATCTGAGTCCACACAACTAGCCACAATTAATCAATCTTATTCAATCAAAGCTAATTAATTTTTCTCCCAACAAATTAAATCACCAGCAAGAACGGAAAATTAAATTTATTAACTGATCCAAATGATAATTATGATCAATCAAATGTAATTTACAAGCTTAGCGCTCATTAAACAGAAGAGGAAAAAGAAAGATTAAACTGAAAATTTTACTCAATTAATAATGTGATATTTAATCTTGTATTTCATCATGAACCATTGTAATTAACTCAATATTAATCACAATAATCTGAATGCAAATACAAGACCAATCAATCAAATTACAAATTACCAACAACAGAAAGATTGAAAGTAATACAAAATGTTGGTTAAATTACCAGTTTTCGGGTCTCTTATGGTTTCCAAGTTATAACATGATTATCAAAGTAACATTGATTGTAAAGGTTGGACAAGGTTAAGGTCAAGTTACAGTAAATGATTTAATGGCAACAATGAAAATTTGATTGGGAAAATATAATAAAGTCAGAATGATATGAAAATTGTCACGCAAATATTACAATACAATGAAAATTTGCGATTCTCGTGAATCAAAGGCAAATTAAATGATTACATGATTTATGGTGGAAAGAAACTAAATTAAGTTAAACTCTATTTACTTGATCATTACTGTTGCGTGCTTTAAATATTGTACCATTAGTAAATTGTCCAGCAAGAAAATGGATTTAGCCTAGATTGGGTTAACTTGAGACTCTTAAGCAAACCCAACAGATTTGATGATTTACTTGATGGACAATTTATCATTAAATGTACAGTTGATAGAAAAATAAAGTAAAATTAAGGTTGTTTAAGGTCAATTTTAATTCAACAATCACCATTATGATCAACAATTTGTTTCACTTTTCATCTTAACCAGTTTTTTTTGGGTTCGCTTTCATTGTTTAATGTTTTGTGCGATGATTTGTTTGTTGATTTGATTCAATCTTTGAAAGCCTTTTGATTCACTTGATTGTCATCAACTAGACCATGATATCAATTCAGATTATGAAATCTTGAAATGCTGTAAAGTCAACAATCATTTTCTCATCTGTAAACTGTTCAGGTTTAGGTTACCAAGTGATTTATTTTTTTTTCATCTTTTTTTGTTTCTTCTTCACACTTTTTACTCTTACCTTTGAATCCTTTACTGTTGATTTTTCAGCCTTTTTTTGAACCCTTTTTAACCATTTAATTAATAACTTGATCCGTGAACAAATCAAATTTTGCCATTCATTGAATGACAAACAAATTGACAATTTAGCTTCAAGTGAAACTCACAATTTCATTTTCATTGTTTCTGCCATTTTTTGCCTTCACCTTTTGTCTTTCCTTCCCAACCAATTTAACGATTACTATTAACTTTCACACTTTTAACCATTAAATATGATCATTTGATGAATCAGCTGAAAGAGGATAATCAACAAATAGATCGGTCAATCATTCGTATGATGATGTCAACAAAATTTTCAATGTGACCAGTAAGTTGAGATGATTTGGACCATATGTTGTTTGATTCATTGCTTCAATTGTAACAGTCAAATTTGATTGTTGGTTGCTTCTTCCGAGTATTGATTTGCCTCATTTAAAGGTTAATCTTTTGTCTTGATTTGGCTAACAGTGAAGGAACCTTAATTCAATTTGATCAATTTGGTTCAACAGTCAATTAAAGGTAATGAACAGGTTTCATTGGCAAACTCAACTATTTCTGAGTTGGTTTTTTTTCCTGGTTTTCTGGTTATGTTTATGTTTATGTTTATTTTAAGGCAATAAAGCAAACAAAAAATCACCATTTTATCGACCATAACAATTTAAATCATCCAATGTTATAAATTTTCATGGTTCTTGATAATCACAGAGTAAATCGTTTTTTTGACAACCAGAAAAATTGCAATCATGTTGCTAATGTTGGATGCTATAAGGACTATATTGGTTATATGGTGGAGGTTATGTTAACTTTGGATATTTATATTGAATAATTAACTGATTGCGGCTATTTGGTTATTCATTTTTAGCTGAAATTATTATTTAATATTAAATATAAATATATTTAAAGAAATATGAAAATAGCGCTTCTATTATGAGTCATGTGCAAATGTATCATTCAACTGTTACTTGAATCCTGACGTGATTGGTTTGTTGCCAATGTTTTTTTTTAAATTTAACAAAGTTTGTTTAAGTTATACAATTTAAATTTTTACTGTTCGATTTAATTGTCTTTCATTTTGTGGTCCATTTTTTTCAATTAAATATATCATCGTTGTTTTAATTTACAATTTACTGTTTATTGTTTTTTTAAATTTTCATCTTACAAGGCTGTTTTGAACTGTGTAGTAAATCTTGCTCATTTCCTTGCTGTCTAGATTTTTCCAAAACATCTGGTCTTAATTCTGAACTCATCTAATCAATCAATTGGTCTTTCAGGTTTCTAAAACTGCCAACTAGCTCAATTCAATTTCAATTTGACTAGTCTTTGCCTTTATCAACTTTATATCAAGTCATTATCCATTCATCATGAACTCTATAGACGAAACTCAAAGACCTGCTGATTGGTGGATCTACTCATGGAAAAGTCAAATTGTTACCGGCCTGTCGTTACTTCAAATTATCTTTGGTATTATCACTTGTCTCAGTATTTTTTCATTCGTTTCATGTGTTCCCGCTGGTATTACATTGATTATTGGAGCTTTCATCGTTCTTGCCATCGAGGCTCCAAGTTTTGTTACATTCATCAGGTTTGCTCAGCCTATTGGAATCTTTTTTGATGACAAACCTTTATGGATCAAGTGTGTTACTTATGCCGGTCTAGCAATTATACCTTGTATTTTCGGCTGTTATTCTGGACCATTCTTTTTCTTTGGGTTCTTCTGTGCTCTAGGAACTGCTGTTGTTTACGGTGCCTTACTCATTGGCCAGAAAGCTAATCGAGATGATATGAGATTCCAAGCTGGTGGATTTTCTCCATCAAATCCATGAATTTACTTTCCCTGGTTAACGTGTTATGCATATATTTATATCAAGTTTTACTAATCAACGTTCTCAATTACAATACCTTTAACAAGTGCTGACACTCCTTTTGTTTTCTTACCATTGAAAGTGATTCAGACATTTTGTTAAGTTGATCAAAATCAACCGTCTGATGTTTCAAGCCTCCTCCCACCCTTTTTCATATTGTGATTATGAATATTGAAAGAGGATAGCACAGTAATTTGTCATTCTATATCCACTTTCATTCCAAGGAATTGGAATTGTTTAACTCAAAAAGCGATTTGCTTTAGCGAAAATTGGGGAAAAAAATTATATTCCAATCATGTATTCATTCGTATTACCCACCCTATTTGATCAACTTTACAAGTGTACTTTACAATACTTTCCAATATCCATTAGCAACATTTACCAAAGTAACTAACCTCAATCATGAAATTATATTTACCTCGCTGTTGATGTTTTTGATCTTTACAATTTTGAATCTTTTTGCCCCAAAAGTGCCTATCAAAATGGAATCGTCACGTTGTCCTTTTTTTTCTTGCCTACAAGTTGTAAATGATTCCAAGCCTGTTGTTGATATTTATCACTCAAACATAGAAATCAAATTTTCTACCGCAATTGTCGCAACTTGGAATCATCTCTACATCAACCTTATCGATAATAAAACCAAGTCAAGATAATTGTCATTTTCACTATTTTCTCTGTTAATTTAATATTTGATACCAGTTCAACCGACAATGGGAAAAAATAATTTAATGCTTCATGTAACAGACAAGTTTGTCGGAAAAAAAGTCTGTATATCTAAACTTTAAAATTTAATTATGTCTTTTTAAGATTATAAACTTGATCAGTTGTTTCTTTAAATTGTTCTGAAATGAAATGGCATTCCTGTTAAACTGTGGAGCAAAAAACAGCAATTCAATGAAAAGCATAGAAGCCCAAAGTGTCGTTTTTTTGAAGATGCCATTAGTCATACTAGAAAAACGATGGCTTTATCATTAACTTGATACATCTCCTGTTAAATATTAGATTATTATGTAAAATTAGATAGGAGGAAATCACAATTCTCACATTGATCATAATTTTATGATCCAGTTTATGTTTCAGTGTTTTATTCAGAGAAAAACGCTTTCAAAGAAAGGGAAATTTTGGTAATCACTTTTTGTGGCAACGGTCTAGTTATACAGATACAAGGCGTAACTAACGAGACTTGTAAATCGGTATCCAATCAAGAGGATCACAAGACATCATGAAAGAAAGATATTAAAGCTAATTCTGGAGAGAGTGCTGGTCAATTTGTTTGTCCACTAATTCAACTAATAAAAAGTACAATAGAAATATCATTTTTAAAATATTATGTTTGCTATTAAAATTACCAGCCATCCTGTTATCGACTCACTCGCCTGCTCAGCTGGTTAAAGCGTATCACTCCCTCGTCAAATTTAATCACAATGTTAAATCACAAGTTAACAATCAAACACATAGTAAACACGGTGAAATATCACAAGTTTTATTTAAATTTTAACACATTTTGTTAGTGAAATTTATTCTAATTGTTATTTAAAAATAGACATCGATAATGTCTATTGAAATTTTAGATGATTCCTGTTTACTCAGGATATTTCGTGAAATCAATGATAAACAAACTTTGATTATCTGCTCACTAGGTAAGTTTGTTGAACCCTGTGTAAACTGGTGAATGTGCTAATTGTGCTTTTATATTTCTTACCTTACAGTTAATCGAAGATGGCATTCATTAATATTTCCAGATACAGTGCCCGAAAAGAGATTTAATTTAGGGGAAATTAAAGAACCAAAACACTTGAAGCGCATATATGCTCTCGATGACTGGGAAATAGTTGCAGCAGTGACCTATAATGTAAATCCTGACTTTTTGACTGAATATGGCAGAAAGATCAAACAACTTTACATTTCGGATATGGCATTAGACAATTTTAAAAAATATGTAAAATGTCTTCCACGATTAGAACGATTACATCTAGCAAATAGCTCTGGTAAGTTATTCAATCAACAGTTTCCTTTTTAAAAGGTAATTAATCCATTGATTTCTTTAGGTTCGTCAAGTGAGCGTTATGATGGACCTAAACTCGAAAGGCTTGAAATACTTGAAATATGTACAAGAGCTGATGGTTATGAACCGTACAGGGGGTTGAGTTTGATGGATCGATGTCCCTATCTGAAAAGCGCTTACCATTGTATCGACACGGATGAATTTTTCGTTGATACACAAGTTGGAAATTATCACTTAGAGGATTTGGTCATTGAAAATGTAATTATTTGCTCTAAAAGTATAATTTCAACTATCTCAAAACTGATGACGGATAATCTTTGTGTTTTTAATAATAACGTATTAATGTGTGTGTAAAATTTGAGTATTCACGATTAGATTTGTCTTTCTTTCACAGATGTTTTCCTCTGACACAGTTAATTGGCCAACATTGAAAAAGATTTTACGAAAATGTCCTAACTTAAAGCATCTGGCTATAAGACATTTGCACGACACTGATATTGAAGATGAAAATATACCAGAAATGCTGGAATTATTACCGAAAGTGGTTCTGATTGATTTACGAGTGTCTCCTGGTGTTACTGAAATATCTGCTGACTATGTAAATGAATATTGTAAGCTCCATAATCGTTCAATATCATTTTATTACACTAAGCAACACGAACTCGACATCAAAGTTGATTGGCCACAATTGTCAAATAAACTTTGTCAGAGCTGTCATGGCTACAGCTTCATGGTGCATTGTTTTCTGAAACCATTCAACGATTTACCTAAAGTAATGGACCCAATCTTCTTATTACCGTTAATTAAAAAGGAGGAATTGAGGCCTGAGGTTATACCAGAAGACGAAGACTTAGGTTTTGGTTTATTCGATTAAGTACCATGAATGAACAATATCTACCATTTTCAACAATTTAGGGAATGTATACAAATTGAATCTACTATTTCATTGTATATTTTGCCATGTTATTTTATATTATTACGTGATGGGACTTGAAAATCAGGACCTACTTCACAGATTAAATTAATGGTATTCAACCCAAAAATTCAATTTTTAAAGTCATTTGGTAAAAGCTTTTGGTGGCAATTTTTTTCGTTATCGTGTCTATGTAATCTCTGTCATTACTTTCATTTCCTCAGCTAAATCAATGTCGTTTTATGCTCTTTAGACTTTGCAAGCAAATAGAGAAATCGAGAAAATAGAATTAACTGATTTATTAAAATTTGGGTTTTTATAACATTGTGAATAGGTTTGTTTAAAAATAATGAAAAAATTGGCTACCTTAACCGGCAGTTTGTTTCAAAGGCATTATAGAGTTTACTGTCGTGCTTGTATTGGTCAATTTAACACGCCTAAGGTGAGTTATATTTTTTACAATATATCTTTTAATAACATTAAGTTAACCTTTATTTATTGAGAAACTTACACTAAGGTAAAATAGAGAATTAAATAGATTGTTTAATTTTCATTCTCAGCTGTTGACAACATATTCAAACACTGCTTTCAAGCAACAACCAGTCTTTAAACAGTTGCATTCAACGTTTAGCTTTCATAAGAGAAACATGGGTGATGAAGTTAAAAAGGCTCAAGAAGCCTCACCTAACGATGAGGACACCATTTTTGGCAAAATTTTGAGAAAGGAGATTCCAACTAATTTCATTTACGAGGATGACCAGGTAAGATTTAATTAATATGTCTGATTTTAAGAATTGAAAAAGAAATAAGTCATCTGATTTCTCTCTGTTTTTTTGCCAACTCAGTGTGTTGCTTTCAATGATATAAATCCATGTGGTCCCAAGCATTTCCTGGTTATTCCAAGAAAGAGAATCATTCAATTGTCCAAAGCAGAAGATGATGATGAACAGGTAAGTCTGATGATTGAATTAATTAGATAAGCAAATTATTGCACATTACTGTTCAATCGACTGACATTTTTTGTTTATTTTCTAGCTGCTTGGGCACTTGATGTTAGTTGCTAGGAAAGTCGCCAAACAAGAGGGGTTAGATAAAGGTTTCCGAATTGTCATCAATGATGGACCTCAAGTAAGTAATTGATTAATTAAATTCTATTGATGTATTAATGATGCAGCAAATTGTATTAAAGTTTTTGTCTCTCTTTTTTCTATTAGGGTTGCCAATCTGTTTACCATCTTCACATTCATGTTATCGGTGGACGACAATTGTCATGGCCTCCTGGTTGTAGTTAAAGATCACTACTAATTTTTATCACCTTATTCGTGATACTGGAAGTCCAAGTCTGAATCTTGATTATCTTTTGCTCACAAAATTTGATGAAAAAAACTAATAAATTCATTAAAATTCTTCTATAGTTGATGAATTTTGATTTATTCATATTATTTCGAGTGTCATCCGGTCTATTTATAAGAAATGCTCTGTTTAGAAATTAGCTTTAATTTGAGTGTTGACAAAGTCTCGCTACTCGTATTACGCTTGATAAAAATGGTATATTTACCTCGGAAATAACATGGAAATGCAAATCAGAGCATTCCTTGTTATGATTTTTCTCGAGAATCAAAACTTAACAGTTTTCAATTGGCAAAATATTACATTAACAGTATTAATTATTGCTTACAATAATGATTTTATGATTTTTCCTTGTAATTATTGTCATCGGCCAAGCTTGAAAAATGATTGAATAAGAAAAATAAGCAAGGTCGATTATAAATGTTTTTGCTATTCTGCTTATGCGGTGTTGAAATCCTCCACCAGATGAGAGACATTGCTTTGATATTGCGAGATTATTTGAAGTCTGTTTTACTGAAGGTAAACTTATCTTCCTCGTTTAATTGTATTATAAATACATCTTATTAAGTACAAATCTATAATTTTATTCATCATCCTTATTATAATTTTGTATTAACATCTTTTATTGCCAGTGGTCACTATAACAACTTATCTATATCATAGACCTTAATGCTACAATGTTGTTTACTTTGAATTCAAAAAGTGGATAAAAACAAGACGAGCAAAGAGCTTAAATGTGCTTCAATCCGAGGACCATTCTTTCATCTAACCTTGTAATTATCTAATTGGTGACATTCTAATATTTATTAGCTGAAACATATGCCAAAGACCTGTGAACTTCCTATTCATCAAGCCATTATCAATTCCAGAAAATACCAAAACAAAGATACAGTGTATTTGCTGATTATTTGATCTCATCTTCTTCGATTTACTGACATTTCTTGGCTTCCAAGCTTCAATATCATATCTGATCATTTACTGGTTATCTTGAACCACTGTCTTGAGCAACTGTATACTGTTCAATTAAACTCAAATGGTTATCCAATGTCGAAGATATTCTGATGGTCCAACTTTTACCTTATCCTAGTTAATGCAATTACAAAAGATCAAAAATGGATCTACATGATAATGCAAAAAAAGTAGTAGTGTGTTCAGCATTATTCGCTGGATTTGCCTACTTCAGTCTGTCTGTTTTACGAAATGTATTTTCAAATCACAAAAAAACATCAAGCACTGATAAAAACAATCGCAAAGCCAGTCAGAGCGTACAAACAGAAGTTACTGTACCAGTTAAAGAAGACAGAAGATGGTGCAAATTATCGCCGGAAATGTGGGGACCATGGGCTAAAACAATTCAAGACAGAATCAAAGAGCTTAATTTAAAAGCAGCAGCTTCAGGTGTAGTTCTTAGACAAGGAAGAGTTCCTTCAATAACAGCCAATGTTTCAAGTTTAAGCTCTCATAATACACCAAGACATTCCCCGAGAACGCGAAGCCCTACTCGTTTGGCAAATCAAAATAATCTCAGTCAGTCAGTTGACAACTTATCTAAAGATGTAAATTATCTTCCAAATGGATCAGTGGTGGATGGTAACTCTATTCCAACTATTATACCTCCAAATGAAACAGAGATGGCCAATTACAAGAAAATATTGGATACTTTATTCGGACAAAAGAATCCTAATTTGTCTCAACAAGAAGCAAGTGTTCTTGGAATGCTGTTGATGTGCGATGACGATGAATTATTGGTAAAAACACTTTCTGTAATAGCAGATTGTGCTGTATTCACACCAAATATCAACATAATTTGTGATTCCGGCTGTTTAGTCATGCTTTTGCATTTACTCAACACTAACTCTGATCCATCGGTGGTTGCTGCAGCAACTCAAGCAATTGGTAATTTGGCAACTGGCGAACGAGCGCAAGAGCTGATGAAACCTTTTATAATTCCTTTGATGAAGAAATTGAAGACTTCATCTCATTTACAATTGACTTGGTCTCTTCTTGCCCTCGCTAATCTAGCTCATAAGGAATCAAATCACACCGACTTTCTCGACCATTTGAATGAATTGATAGCCCTGGTTGAAAAGGGTTGTTCTCGTGTTCAATTACAAGCTCTTAAAATTTTGGTAAATCTATCTTGTAATCAAAACTCTATTGTCTACATATTAGCGGCTAAATGTCCAGGCAATTTTCATAGCTTATTGGAGCCAACGACTGACGAAGAAATTTTGATTCGCTTGTGTTCCTTTATTTGCAATCTAGTGGAAGCTGTTTTCAGGCGAAACATTAGACATCAAAATTTGCCAACAATTAACAAGGTTGCATCTCCAGAAACTCTATACACAGGAATATTTGGTGTCCAATCAATCGAGATTCTGAAAGAAAAACTTACTTCACTTGCCCGGTATCCGAATGAAAATGTTACTTCCTCAGTTCATCGGATTCAAAAGAAGTTGATTGCCCTTTGAATTCAATGTTTTTCCAGTTTTTCAGCTATTTAAAGTATTAATCGAGATTGTTTTGTAGATTAGTTAACAAATTAATTTAATTTGCTGTTATATTTTTGAGCTTTTCTTTTTGATATTTGAATGCTGAATTTAATTTCTCTGCAAAATTTACTATTTTCTTTCAATGGTGAACATTGACGAACAAGCTTTCTATTGACTTAAAACAACTATCAAAAAGTATGTGCCAAGGCTCATGGAATATCGTCCGTTCTTCATTTCCCTGAATCTAAATTAATCGAGTATCCTCAAAAGAAAGACATTTATTCTAACTTATGCTAAATTGTACAACCAATGCATTATTGCATAAATTATGAAATTATATCAAATTGTACAATATAAGTGCAAAAATATATAATACTATATCAGCAATTTTGTCCTTCACGAAAGTGGCAGGATTGTGTGTACAGATCAAAACTTGACGTAAATCAATAAAAGTTATTCATTGAGATTTAAAGACAATTTTCATTGAATACCCAGTCATTAATTCATCAATAAAACCTTAAATTTGAATACAATCTCAATAGACTTCAAGTAACTTTCAAAGAGGTCAAGAGAAACATAAAGCGATGAAAAATCAGATTATTTATATTCTTTCTGATTTTTCGTTTTCAAGAAAAGTTACAATAGCAAGAAAAACATGACTTTTAGTTAAATTAAATTATTTTTATTGAGTTAAATTTTTCAAGTCAATCACATGATTCGGATTCCTGATTGTTGGAGTTCAAGTCGGTTGAACTATCCTGAATACTTTCATCTAGGGTTGTTATTGAACTGATGGTTGATTGGGACCGGTATCGACGGTTGCGACGATTACGAACCAAAGTCCATCCATCAGATAGATTTGAAAATGGTTCTGATTGAATTATATTAGCGTCTTCATTTGATATCGCTAATAGAGGGTGCGATGTTACTGTACCATTTAATAAGTGATTTGGTCGGGGGACATCTAAATAATTTGAGATGATTCCACGAGGAGAAGTTAAATTTAAAACATTTTGTATATTGGTAACCATTGATTCAATCATTGAATCCCAATAATTGGCAACATTCAAAAGACTTGTCCAGCTCGGCCCAACAACTGGAATCTCGTCGTATAAATGGTCAGCAATTACATTACAAATTAAATTGTTGAAAATAGTACGACATGCTGGACATCGATTAGATTGTTTGGACCATTCAAGTAAACATTGAGTGCAAAAAACGTGAAGACAGCCATCGGCAAAACAGGGTGAAATTAAATTTGAAAGGCAAATGTAACATGGATCTTCAGTGAAACAATCAATATTTGTATTGTTACAGGCTATTTCACTACAATTGTTGTCAGTTGTTGATGATTTACTCGGAGATTCATCCGCCATAATCCAAGTTTCTCGTTATAAGTTAACGATGTGTTGATTGTTGGTGGCCAAAATCCAACAACGAATTTCATCATTCAATTCAGCAAAATTTACGCCATTCTTCGTCTAAGTAAAAGAGGCAAATAATAAACCAACAAAACATCGAAACAATCAAAAATTGATTTGATCATCAATCCATTGTTGCCAGATTTAATTTTGTTGTAGGTGGCAGATAAATAATACATTGATCAAAAGGATTGATCCAGAAAATATTTCAGCAATTCATTAGAAGATTAATTAGAAACAATAATTTTAAAGGCCAGTTGAGTCTTCGCCTTTTTCGTGTACAGTCAATGTTCTCATAATAATATTTAACTTTGATTGTTATTTTTCATCTTTGATAGTTAAAGCCAAAATGGTAAATGTTTAGACAATTTGGAAATGAGCTCAACAATGGATTCTACAAAATCTGGTTTAAAAAAGTGTTTCATGGATAAGATAAGGCGTAATATCACTGATCAGGGCAATCTATTGTTCAACAATATGTTCAATTTTTATAAATTATCAAATGCTCGATTGATTGAATGATGGAAAATTCGTAAAGACAATCCAAGGTTTCTTTGAAACAGAATTATCGATGCAACTTGAATGGTTAGTTTTTGAGTAGTTTTTAATAATTGTTTATTTAATTTTAGGAATTTGATTTCTTCAAGATTCTCTTGTTTTTTGTTCAAGTTAATCGATAATTTTAAAGTTGTACAAGTTGTATAACAAAGATTTATCCTTTTGTCCTGTTTATCCATGCATATTGATGATTCTTTTGAGCTAATCCTGATGGAGTCATGAGAGATTTCATGTTTTAAATAATGTTTTGGATTTTTGTTGATCAACAAGCCAAATTTTTGACTACTTTTGTGACTAAATTAGTGAAAGACGTTTCAAATTGTTCGTATTGTTGATCAAATTATTGTGATTATGCTTTCACTAATTCAAACATAGTCTTACCGGCATAATTTCGTTTAAATGAGAACAAAAGTGTTAGTTACTTTTTTCTTCACTTTCAACAAAATTCTGAACTGATAAGATTGACAAGCTCATGAGTTTATGAATAAATAAAAAGAGATGCACCAGAAAAAAATGAATAAACATGTAAATTAAATCGTAACTTGAGACTCTCTTCGCCAAAGGATGACTTATGCAGTTGATCGTCGCGATCAATATCAAAGCAGATCATGAGGACATTGGACGATAATTGAAGCGAAACGTTGATTATGATGATTTTGATTGAGAGTTCGGTATCCATTTCCACTTAGTTTTGCCTTTTATTTTTCAATTGATTTTTCATAGCTAAAAGAACTATGTTCCTTAGATTTCATCTGGGCTTGGGTCTTGGTTTCAAAATAAGTCGACCATTATCATCACAGGTCATATTAAAATCAGACAATACTTGACGCACCCTTGACATGATCCTATTAAAGAAAAAGATTCACAATTAGACAAATAAATAAATGTCTCAAGTAGTGCTTAATAAGTGAGTCAATCACAATGCAGAAGAAATAAAATTTTGGAATCTATATTCCATACTTACACTTGAGGTGCAATAACTCTTTTATGAATTCCAGTTAGAGCAAATAAAAGTATTAAAATAAAAGCATTAATTGTGAAAAATGGATGGTTAAACAATGACTGAAACAATGAAATTCTAGATGTAAGTGGATCGGTTAACCATTGGAAAGCTCCAAAAGCAGTAAAAGCTGTTATAACAGCCAGTACTAATCTGTAACGTTTAGTTTGTAGCTTCATGCAGTTCATCATCTCTTGTAATCGACGTTCAAATGCTTTTAAATCTGCAAAAAAGCACAATTGTAAAGATTAGCGTTTAGAATCAAATAATTTTCTTTGAGTAAGGTGTTATAAAAACTTACCTTCACATGCAGTTTGCTCCATAGACATATTGACTGTTTTTACTACGGCCTACGAAAGGCCAATCCAGATGATAACAAATCAAAAGATGACTAAGTTTACGATCGACAAATAGACTGTTATCAGGCAATTAATTGAAAAAATACATGATTGATTCAAACAATAATTTGAGTGAATTAATGTTCAAATTTACGACAGAAATTACTCAATCCTTACTTTCTTTCACCTTTTAGGATTTGGATACCGATACCATTACGGGAAATACTCGATATCAAGAGCAGAACCAAAGTGTCTCCATCTCTTCGAGCGTCATACAAATAAGGAAAGACATAAAATAAAGCTCAACTTTTATAATTGTAACATTTTAATCAAGGGCAACTGAAACAATCAGCAAAATTTAAGTTTCTCCTCTAACAAGTTTTTAAAGCGATGGACTTCTAATTCATTATGAAAGTTTGATTTTCTTTAACCACAATCACAACTGTTGAATATGAAGCGGTATTGAATCAGTACTTGATCTGTTTCTTGCTGCAGCTACAAATGGTAAAATCTTGAAAAAATTGGCTTCCATTAAAATGATTTTTATTGGAATGATCTACAAATCGCGAACAGTGTTTCTTTAAGATGAAAGAAATTAAGAATAATTGGATAGTTGATGAAAAAATGAACAACTCCGTCTTTGCTGTCAAAATTATTCGATTAGGAACAAATTGAACAAATAAAAGACAAATTTCATACTTTACCTTTACCTGAAATTTACTTTTATTTGCTCTCCAACTTTATGGTTAATGATGAAAAATCAAACAAAAAGAAGAAGAGAGCAAGAAGAAGAAAAAAGAAAGAATCAAAAAACTATTTTAAGAGATTAAATTTAGGTTAAGGAGTTAACGTCCTACTCCGCATAAAAAAGGTCTGTCCACTCTTGTTTAACGGGTTCCAACTTGGTTTGTCTTATTGATGCTGATTATTTGTTGATGAATTAAATAATGTTGTGATGGAATAGATGATTATTTAAGTATTTGCTTTAATAGCAAGATGCTGTTTCTTGCTTTCCCATCAAAACAATTTTAACTGTGCTTTCTGTTAACCATTTTTTGTCCATTTCCCTTGTCCTTTCCTTTCCTTTGTCTTTAATTGTAATTTAAGTCATTTTTACAAATGAATTTGAAGGTTCAATTTTAATTTCTGGTCTTCTTTAATAGACAGTAATTTCCAGTATTCAGTATTTCCTATATTTTGTATTGTTTCAGTTCTTCTCGCCACTACGTTTTCTGGTAACCAATCACCAAGTCTGGTAACAATCCTTTACTTGTTGCTCATCTGTTCAATAACTTGGTGGTTTTTGACTCGGTTGCAAGTTTTCCTGTTTCACTATCAACTATTAACAATCTATTTATAATATCAAAATGCCTTCCATATTCAGTAAATTAATCCCTTTTCCCGATATTTCATTACCTTTCAACTGTTACGAGGTTGGACATACATGGACTCCATTTTGCTCTCAAGCTGCTTTGGACATTGGTGGCTCTGTGTTTTACGAGGGACTCAAGATGTACACCGGTGTTTATTTGTTTGGTCAAATGATGGCTCGACGCTTTGATTATAAATCATTTAGAGAAACAGTGAAATCTATTCTACGTTCATCAACTTTTCTCGGATTCAATGCATTTGCGGTTCTTGTTTTATTTTGTTTCTCCTTTAGATCAGTTGGTAAACTTTACCTTTCCTTGATTGGACACCTTCCCTCCATCATTGGTAGTTACATGGCAATTCACCTAGAAAAACCTTCTCGCCGTGGACCATTAGCTTTCTATGTGGCCAATATAGCTGCAGAAACATTGTTTCAAATTGCTGTTGCTAATGGTCTCATCAAACCTGTTAAAAATGGTGAAGTGGTGCTTTTTGCTTTGACCACTGGTGTTTTAGTGTACTTTATTAAAAAAAATGGTATTGGAAACGACATGATCTCAAGTATACTCAAACTAATTATTGGAAAAGGTGAATTAACGCGCAAAAAGCTTGAAATGGCTGTTGATAAAGCTGAAATTAAGCTTTCAAAACCGTTGACAACATCTCATCCACTTAAATCTAGTTATTTACGTTCACTGTTTGTGAAAAGTGTCAACAGTTTATCATTCATTTACGATCATCATCAAACATGTCCACACTCTTCTTCATGTCTAACCTATGCTACGACAACCTTCCTACAAAGATTTATCATCAGCTGGACTGGTATTTCCATTATTCCAATCATTCTTCGGTCACCCTCTAATATTACTTCATTATCTGCCTTGACCAAAGGACTAAGCTCCCGGAGTAACATAAAATTTGGCATGTTTTTGGGTCTATTTGCATCCACTTTTAAAGTGTTTAGTTGCCTTCTTCGTAGATATGACAATTCACCTAAAAATTGGCACGGAATCGTTGCTGGTCTCGCTGCTGGATCATCAATGGCCTTATATCCAAGTAAAACAATTGCTCAATATATGTTCTGGAAAATGGTAGAGACACTTTTCTGGGAAGGTGTTCGAGCTGGTAAAGTGAAATACTCGGAAACCATAATCTGTTTAACTTATGCCATAGCCTGCTCTCAACTCTTCTATGTAGCTGTCATTTGTCCAACTTATATGAGACCAAGTTATATGCGGTTTCTTGATCGCTTTACCCATCAATGTTTACGTCTTCTTAATCGCAATGTTATTGATTTGTTTGGAACCAAATCATCTGCTGGTTTTAAACCTTTCATACCCAATCTTGATCTCAAATTCACAAGCCGTCAGTTCCAGGAGGCAGTTCTTGTCTGGACAATTCAATGAAAACAATCAATCATTCAACTATCACCTATCAACATGACGACTTTTCCATCTAAAGAAATCGAAAATTTTTCACCCAAATGTTCAACAAGTTTCATTCTTATAATGCAAACTCAAAGCACACTACTTAAGATCTATAAGTAATCTTAAAGAAATGAAACGATTGAAACTTTGGTTTCTTTCTCGAAAAACTAGTCGTTATTTCTGATTGTTGATGAATTTCCCCTTCTTTAGGGAAATTTAATTTGGTCAATACAAGTGGTACAAGAGTTGGTGAAAAAGTCGACATGGAACAATCTTCATTTTTACCTGTGAGCAAGAACAATTAAAATGATTGACACCTGCTGATTTTAGCTAGAAATAAGAATCTTGTTCTGAGAACTTTCAACAACTTTGCCACCATATTACGATAGATTGAAACAAGGTATTAAAGTTGATTGGCGAGATTTTCACCAACTCTTTATTGTTCACCAATGACACAGGGATTTATCGCCATATAATTGTTACCTAAATAATTGCGAGCAATCGATAAATAGAGAAAGATTGTTGGTTTAGCATCAATGGATTGAAGTAATTATTATCGGTTAATATTTTGAACTGTTTTGAGTTAATAATAACAATCACTTTGACTAAATATTGTAACCAAGTCGTGAAAATGTTTTTGTTTTACATGTTTTTTGTGTTTCAAATGTTCCCAATTTTATGAACTAAAATGCAATAATCTTTATAAAATTATTTTTTTGTATCTGAGAAAATTTATATAAATTTTATTTAAATAATTGGCACAAATTGATTTTCATTTGATTTCGCAAAATGTGGCTATTTCTTCAAATCTTATTCGCTTCGTTCTTATTTCACATCAGATTCATTGCCAAAACCACGAGAACGCCAGAACAAGAAATCTGTATCTAAATCCCACCGGTACACATCGAGTTTGTCTGTGCATTTGTTTATCATCATTTGTGCTCAATTAATATGTAAAGAATTCAATTTAATTGTATTTGATTTTCCCATTTTCATTTTCATTATCTTAATTTACTCAAAAATACCACTTACAATATATAAATTCATTCAAAATGTTTGACATTGGAAGGGAAACTTTCAATTTTCGTGACAATTACTAGAATCCCCAACACTTTTTGTGGCTATTTTTATTTTCTCATGGGTTGTTTTCATCTGGTTAACTACATCGGATGGCACATTGCCGAATCGTCAATAATTAAATCCAAAACAGGCTCAACATTTGTTTTGGATCGTCAATTAGTGGAAAGAATTATTTAAATTGGATTAAATCAATTGATTCTAGCTAATTTACTGGTATCCTTAATCCCAAGAAACGCAGTGTAAGTCCTCTTTGAGATTTTGCTAATAAAGCTAACAGTCTCTTACAGACTAAAACATTTAATTGTCATTGAATATAATGTAAACTATTATAAATTGTATTGATTAAGTCGCACAGAACAATGATTACTAAATTAATTAATAAAAGAAATTTGATAAAAATTAACCCTTCAGGTAATGTTGGCGACAATTACAATCTCAGTTTTGATTGCAATAGAATATGATTTATACTATTTCGAAGCACAAAAAGTATAAATATAGCTGAGCTAACTGGTAATTCAGTGAAATGTATCTAACATTTGTAGTTGCTGTTTTTTTTGCTCATTGGTTTAGCTAAATTAATTAATACAATAAAATTAAACCAACATGCCTTTTAAATTGATGAACTACTGGAGTAGATGAAAGCAAAAAAGCAATTTTTATCTTTGCTATAGTTGAAATTCATTATTGATGACACAAAATATATTGGATCAGGATAAAATGTTTAATTTATCAATAGGATCGTGTGATAATAAATAAATCAATATAAACATAATTTTTCCATGCATGATTATTTAACATCCTCTAATTCTTTTTCAATTAAAAGTCGATACTCTTCGAATCCACCTTCGAGTGAGAGAACTTTCTTATTTTTGACAAGCCATAACTCTTTGCAAACCATTTGTATAAGAGTTTCGTCGTGGGAAACTAACATAACTCCTCCGTTGTATTTGTTAATTGCATCTCCAAGAGCTTCAACTGTTTCCACATCCAAATGATTGGTCGGTTCGTCAAGAATTATAAGCTGAGGATTAGCTAAAGCCATAACAGCAAAAGCAACGCGGGATTTTTGTCCTCCCGATAAACTTTCAATGGGTTGTAGTCCAAGATCACCAGAGACTCCAAATTTACCCAAATAACTGCGATATTGTTCAATAGGTTTTCCAGGAAATTTGGAAGCCAAAAATTCAATTGAACATTGTCCCATGGTTAATTGGTCAATATGATGTTGACTGAAATAACCTAAGAAAAGATTTTACAGAATTGATTAATGATACTAAATAATCTTGTTTTTATCAATTCAAGTTTAAGATTGGATATCCATTAATCTAGATTGATAATCGTGATGATGTTAACACTAGGGAAACTACCATTCTATTGAAAAATCAAAATGATAAAGCTTACCAATTTTCAGATTTCTGTGCGCTTTACGTTCTCCTGATCTTGGAGAAATATCGCCAATCAATAGTTTAAGCAGAGTTGTTTTACCAGAGCCATTGTCACCCACAATACAGATACGAGATTGAAGATTAGCATTGAGTGAAATCTTATGAAGAACATCTTCACCATCACCCCATCCAAAACTGACTTCATCCAATTGAAGGATTGGTGCTCCGGAAAGAGGTTCGCATTCTGGAAATTTGAGGACGACTTTCTCTTCCTTTTCAACAGGTTTAAGAATGGGTAATTTTTCTAACATCTTGATTTTACTTTGAACTAAACTTGCTCTTTTAGCATTGTATCTGAACTTGTCAATAAATTCTTGAGTATGTTTACGGAAATCCATCTGAGATTCGTATTCTCTTTCTTGGTTTTTCATCTTTTCACGTTTTACTTTAACAAAATTATCGTAATTACCGGCGTATGGGTCAATTCTTTGATTATGAAAATATAATACGTTGGTTGGAACACTGTTAAGGAATTGACGATCGTGAGAGACAACCAAGAGTGTTGATGTCCAGCTTTTTATCAAATAATTTTCTAACCATATAATGGCTTTCATATCTAACATGTTAGTAGGTTCGTCAAGAAGTAATAGATCAGGTTTACTGAACAAAGCTCGAGCTAAAGCAATCCTCATTCTCCATCCACCAGAAAATTCTTTTGTGGCTTTTCGTTGCATGGTTTCAGTAAAACCAAGACCGGCTAAAATGGAAGCCGCTCTAGCTGGTGCTTTATCAGCTTCAGTAGCATTCAAATCAGCATAAACTTTTTCCAATTTAGCATTGACATCCTCACTGCCATCTTTAATGGCAAGCAAACGTTTTTCTTCAGCTAATAATGAAGCACGAGCTAAATCACATTCTAAAACAGCGTCAAGAGCCGAAGTTTCATTTCCAACAACTTCTTGTTCAACATGTAAGACACTTATGTGTTTTGGAATAATTAAGGAACCATTTGAAATCATTTTAAGTAATGTAGATTTACCGATACCATTGCGACCAACTAAGCCATATCGTCGTCCATAACTAAGAATCAAATCAGCTCCAGACAGAAGTAGTTTATTACCGAAAGAAATATCAAAATTTTCGATTCTGATATCCTTACACCGACCAGTTTCATCAATTTTGACATCTCTCCTATTTATCATTTGATTAGCAGATGCTTCTTTATTAGTTTGAAGTCCAGGAACTACTATTCCAATAGTAGTAGTTCCTTCTGCAGCATCTCTTCTTTCCTGTTTAGTCTTTATTTTAGCCTCAGCCTTTTCCAATTTTTTCTGATCAACTTGAGAAGGTAACTCTCTTTGAGGACACCAAATGCTTTTATACTCCTCAAGATTACCAGTCATATTGGAAAGCATTTCACCTGAAAATAGAAATATAAATTTAGTAGCTTATCAGTTAAAGGAGGCTTCCATTAAGATTCAAAGGTTAAAATATTACCTAAAAGGATTGATTTGGGAAGAGCACGGTGACCATCAGGGCCAGTACCATTTGATGTCTTTTTAGACTTTTCTTCTCCTCTGTAGAATAAGTTTAAAACACTGTTAATTCACAATAATTATTCAGAATGAATAGATAACATACATGTGCAAAGATTGGAGCAATTGGTCGCAGATATCTTTAATCTCATCCTCCTTCTTGACACCATTTGTAACATCCATGAAAACCTCTCCAAGGCATTCGAATATATCTTCTCGATCATGAAACTCATTTTTGCCCTCTTTCAGGACATTGAATATATAGCTAGAGACATCTTCGTCAATCAAAGGAAAATTAAGATTAATAATGTCTTCAGTTTTTGACATTTTGCACCACCAGAAAGTGTTGACGGTATCTAGATGGCAAGGAATAAACCAGATGATTCTGATTGCAAAAAGATAACACAATCACTTCATTTAAAATTAAACTCAAAGAATATAGATGAATGTAGACTAGGTACACGATAATTAATTTAAAAAATTCAAAATCAAATCACTTGAAATTAAGGTTTTTAAACGGAAAACAAACCATCAGCTTGAGAACATCTCTCATGCTACTCACACAGATGTGGCTTGAAAGTTGCGTCAGCTTCCAGTTTGGTTAGTTTGGTTGCTAGGGACTTTTCAACAATCAACGATTGTTTTAAAATTGTTCATTGATTCTTTAGCAAATTTATTTATAAGAGGTCAATAATTTAGGTCATTATTAATTTGCATTTGAGCTCTATCATAAACCAATGTAACAATTAATTGCCATGTTTAGCTGAACATGCACAATCTACAATAAATGGTCCCTAAGTACCGGGTAATAGTGGGAATGAGCATAAATTGAATTTTCTTAAAGAAATTGATTACTTTATCGATGAATAGACTTTTCAATCTTTATTAAACACTTAATGTTCCATTTTTAGATAATTTCAAAAATTTTGTCCAAATACTTTTCATTAGATCAAGTCCAGAACGCAAATTGGACAGTTGCCCAGAGTAAAAATTACTGTCATGGCACGGGGACTTAAATTTCCTCCAACACAAGTTTATTTTATTGAAGGATCTAAACGTTCTTCGATCAGAAATGCTTACTTATCGGTTTTGCATAAAAACAAAAGAATTAATCTTTTTGATACACTGATTGAAAATCCGCATGAAATGAGTGATTCAGGAGCTGAATCGTCCATGGATAAAGAAACACAAGGATCCCTTAAAGTAACACAGCGATACATAGATTGATCTCACAATTGTTAACGAATACGCTTTAATTGAATCGCGAAAATAAATTTAGCGCAATAGACACAATTCCTGATAAGTGAAATCAAATTTCAAGGCAATTTCAAGTTCACTTTTGGATATCCAAGTACCTATGCAACTCCTAACCTTAAAGATAATAATTCCGTTAACTCAGGACTTTAATTAAAACATATCAGATAAATGTATCTCTGGTCAAAGTTTTTCATTTCCTCGCGATGATGTATCGTGATTAATAGTATTTAAAAGTACCAAAAAAGATTTTTCGCCAAAATATATTTTTCTGTAAAAGTCTCACCGTCCAGACTTGTCAGTTCATTTTTGCCAAATTGTTTAATCATGTGTGATGCTAAAATTTTGATGATTCAAAAGAGAAAGAATACGATTCAGAGTGAGTCAAACAGAATGAAAAGATAGAGGGGAATTAAAAGAAAGATTAAGAAAGAAGAGAAAATAATAGATTGGAATGAGACAGATGAAGAGGAGAGGAGGAGGAGGAGGGGGAAAGAGAGCGACAAATGGGCCAACTGATGATCAACATGGTGAATGATGAACTTGCCTTACTATTAGAACCGGTTATTCCAGGTAACCTATCAACAACATGAAATTAAATCAAAAAGTAGAAACCAGCAGCAGTTAGTAAACACTAGCAACTGAAAATCATTTTTGACGTTGTTTTCTTTTGTCTTCCTTGTTTCGCCAAAATTTCCTTCACACTCATTTAAACGAATATTTCTTTTTGTGATTTTATTTCCTTTCCCGTCATCTAACACCAGTATGGCCATTTTTTAATTATTTTAAATATGTGTTCAACTAAATTGTTTAGCTAGTAAACAATACTGTTAAACAATGAGTCGGACAGATCGAAGCGCACAAAATGTTAGACGTCTACGAGAGGCCTTTAGGCAGGAATACATGACCAATCCTGGTAAGTTGAACCATAATTGTTTCAGATAACAAGTCAGTTAATTTAACCTAAAAGAGGAAAAAAGGGATAAATTCAATCTGATCTGTTTATATGACCTTCTTCAATTTATTGATAGATTTCAATATTGTCAAATGTTAAGATGTTGAATTTAAAGTGAAACTTACCTTTATTGTTTTGTTTTTGTCTCTACCATAGATCTTTATTATGAAGAAGATTACCAAAAGCTGGAAACAGATGATTGGTATGTGAAACGGTTCTTTTTGGCTCGCAATCGTAATGAAACGGAATCTCTTCGTATGATAGTTGAGACCATGAAATGGAGGAAAGAAATTAAGATCAGAGAATTTCGTGATTACCATTTCCCGATAGAGTTTTACAAGATTGGTGCTTTGTTTATCTACGAATGTGATCGAAATGGTTTCCTCACTGTTTACTTAAGAGTCAAGATGCATCGCAAGATTCCTGAGTTGGATGATCATTCAAGGAAATTTTTGATTCACGTTCTAAATAAAGCGGATATCATGACCGGAGGAAATGGTATTGGTGTAATTTTTGATGTGACTGGAGCTGGTTATCGTAATTTAGACTGGGATTATCTAAAATTCCTCATCAATTCTGGATCAAATTATTTCCCAGTTGGTGTTAAGTATATTTTGGTTGTCAATGTTCCTTGGGCATTGAATGCTTTCAGACGAGCCGCTCTTTCCTTCCTACCTGCTTCTTGGTTTGGTTTGATCAAATTTGCCAATGGTGAGGAAATTTTCAATTTCATTGACAAAGCCTCGGTGCCTGACTATCTCGGTGGAACCTGTAAACGTAATTATAGAGCCATTCCTCCTGGATGTCGACCAGTTTCTGAGGTAGTTACTGAATTCGGTTACTCTAAAGAAGACATTGATAGGATTTTACCAGAATTTGCTGATGCATTGGAAGAAGCTTCAAAAGCTTTGGAAACAGGCGACTATATTAATCCAAGTTCAGACTTTTGGGACTCATTGGAAGAGGATAACGATATTAAAGATGAAAATATAAAGGAATCTGGAGCAATAAATTCACCAATCAAATGTATTATAGTCAACCCATCAAAAAGTTTAGTGTTTAGATATGATTACTGTGATCGAGCTTATGAAGCCACTTTAGTGATGTCTAATCCACTGCAATCTCCTGTTGCCTTTAAAATTCAGTCAACAAATCCATCAAAATACACTGTCAGCCCAAGTCTGGGAATCATATTACCAAAGAGAACAATAACTGCAACAATTAAATTTAACCAAGACTCAGGATCTGCAAAAAAGAAAGATAAATTTTTAATACTCGGTTTACCAATAGAGACAACATGGTTAACAGTTGAAGATTTTTATGCCCTTTGGGTCCAGCACAAAGATGAAATTTATTCACACAAATTGCTACCTCTTTTGGAAGCTGATCATTGTCATGATGAAACCAAAAACGTGGATAATGATTATGGTAATAATAACATGATAATAAGACGTAAATTGATGCACAATGGGGAAACAATTATCAATGGTGATTCACCAAGGAGCAACATCGATGAACATAACCAACAAATCAGCCGGTTAACAGAAAGAATCAACACGTTGGCCAATCAACAGAAGAAGACATGGATTTTTCTCCTTATCATCATTCTCCTTTATCTTCTTGTTTTGTCTTACATTTTGTTGTCTGATTATACATTTGATTCAGTTCATTTATTTCAAGATTATTTGTTTCAGTCCATCAGTCCATAATTCATCAGCATCCGATAAATGTCCGATTTTCGTATGTCCGATAAATGTATCAGATATTTCGTATCATGTTTTCGTTTGTTTAAATCCTTAATTTATTGAAATGTGAAGATTGATTTTGCATTTATTTTAATTGCATCTCTATTTATTTCACTTATCAAAAATTCGCCTGTGGCTCGATCAAGTCCCTCACCAATTTAAGCCTAACTAATACTTACATTGAGTCACTTCTAAAACATTTTGGTTTCGTTCTCGAAAAACTAGTCTTTATTTCTGATTGTTGATGAATTTCCCCTTCTTTAGGGAAATTTAATTTGGTTGATACAAATGGTACAAGGCTTTTTACCTGTGAGCAAGAACAATTAAAATGATTGAAAACTGCTGATTTTAGTTGGAAATAAGTATCTTGTTCTGAGAACTTTCCAAAACTTTGCCACCGACTTACGAAAGATTGAAACAAGGCATTAAAGTTGACTGCCGAGATTTTCACCAACTCTTTATTATTCACCAATGACAAAAAGATTTATCGCTATGTGATAAACGGTAAAAGAATGTTGATGATTTTAGCATCATTGGATTGAAATAATTATCGGTTAATATGTTGAGCTATTTTGAGTTGATGGCAACAACAATCACTCGGACTAGATTATTCTGACCAAGTCGTGAAAATATTTTGTTGAAAATGTTCTCAATTTTTTTATAAACTCTGAAAAGCACATATCAAAGTAGTATCTACGTAATTTGTAATGAAATAACCGTTATAAGATTATTGTTTTGTGTTTGAGAAATTTTTTAAAAATTTTATTGTAATAATTGCTACAAATTGATTTGTATTAGATTTCTTAAATTGTGGCTATATCTTTAAATCTTGAAAATCAGACTAAAGTTTTTATTCGGGTTTAATCTTGATTTATTGATTTTCTATAAATTAATTCGAGAAATGAGAAATTATTATTACAATTATTGACTTTACCACCAAATTAACACAGTTTGAATACAGATCAGTAAATGTGTTTTTCAATCTTTGATGCATTTTCAAATCTTGCAATAAATCTCTGTTATTAGAATACGTCCCCTGGATGTACACGCGATTGCTGATTTTTTTTAATGCTGCTTGTCTTGTTTGTCAAGCCATATTAATAAAATTTAATTTATTAATTTAATTGTCTGTTTTATTTGATATTGTTATTGCGTTAATTGTACTTCTAATTACAATATGAGTGGACGTTTCTTCAAGGGAGTTTCCGATTCAGAATCTGAATCTTCAGAAGCTGAATCAGATATTTTGCCAACCCGGCCTCATCCGGCTGTTACCTCGTGAGTATCTTAAATTCTTTGATATTTATCTTCCTCAATATCCCTTTTAAAATTTAAACATTTCTCAGACTGCATATTGATATGTTACTTAGAATCGGTTCGCTTGATTCGAATGTATCCGATTAATTTGCCTCCAAACAATTTTTCCCCAACCCCACTCTTCTCAATCCTGATTTTACTTATCATTTTCTTTTGTTCTCAATCTGTATAGAGCTTTCCCTGTTAGCGATGAAGAAGAAGAAGCAAAGCGAGTCGTTCGTACTGCCAAAGAAAAACGGTACGAAGAGCTTCACACCATCATCAGGCAAATTCGTAATCACAAAAAGATCAAAGATATTTCCAAGATGCTTAGCGGTTTTGAAAACCTGACCCGTGCCTTTCAAAAAGCTAAACTGGTCATCGAGAGGGAAGAAAATAATAAGATTCCAACTTTTTACTTGAGATGTCTAGTTGAATTAGAAACATTCGTACACGAAACGTGGGAAGATAGAGAAGGACGTAAAAATATGTCCAAACAAAATTCTAAATCTCTTGCTACTCTTAGACAAAAGTTGAGAAAGTACAGTAAAGATTACGAAACAGAAATGAATAAATACAAAGAAAATCCAGTTGAAGATGATGAAAAGGAAGAAGAATCAGAAGATGAAGAATCTGATGAAAGTGATTCAGATGATGATGGACCCATGGATTTCATGAAGAAGCCAGAAAAGGAAGTCAAAGAAGATTTCAAAGAAGAGCCCAAAATTGATAAAGATGTGGAGGATGATGATGAAAGTGACGATTCTTACTGGCAAGGCTCATCCGACGAAAGTTCATTAACAAGTGATGATGAAAAATACGGTGGAAATAGGGCTAAAAATGTATTTGAGAGAGATACTGACAAAACTAAAGAAACTACCAAGCGAAGGAGAAAGCCCAAAGAAGGTATTAATTTTGTTTTACATCTTATATTTTACACTTTCACTGCTAATTTATTACGATTAATTTCAACTGATTTCCTATTTTTCAATTTCAGGTGAACATCGTAAACAACGGATTCATGAAGAGGAAGATGAACAAGAAGAAGGTAGATGGAAAGAGGTCCAACGAGGAGGAATTCCCGGTGAGAAGCCCAAGATGTTCAGTAAAGATGAAGAAATCAATCATCAATCAGTTATTAAAAAGTTGCTCGAAATTCTCGCTATGAGAGGTAAAAAAAGAATCCATCGTAGCGACCAAATCGAAATGCTGGTTGAACTATTGGATATTTGTGGTGCTCACAAATTAGGACCTGCAATAGAAACAAAGGTCACTCTCGGTATCATCGCTGCCCTTTTTGAATACAATCCCAATGTTTCACCCTGCATGAAACCTGAAAACTGGCAAAAATGTCTCAAATTCGCCAACCTTTTGTTCGACATATTGTTAGAAAATCCAGATATTGTTGTAAGCGAAAATATCGCTGAAGAAGCTGAAAGTTTTACTGCTCCTTCATTCCGAGTTCACGGATGTGCGCTCACTCTTGTAGAAAAGATGGATGAAGAATTTACTAAACTACTCCAAGCTGTTGATCCTCATTCACCTGATTACATCGAAAGATTGAAGGACGAAAAAAATATCTGCACCATAATTGAAAGACTACAGACGTATCTTGAAGCTAATCAAAAAGGTACATCTTCTGAGTTATGTCGGGCTTACATTTTGAGAATCGATCATCTTTACTTTAAATTTGATCCACTTGTTTTCAAAAAACGAGAACAACAAGCTAAAGCCAGGGCAAATAGTCTTGTTAATGGTGATGGCGTTCAAACAGAACCCCAAGATGAAGAAAAAAAAGAAGGCGCTGTTGAAGAGAAACCGGAAGAACCTCAAATTGGCGAAACTAGCCTGGAAGTTATTGACCGTCTCTGCAAATATATTTACGCTAAAGATGCGACCGATCGGTTGCGAACTCAGGCTATTTTGTGCCACATTTATCATCATGCGCTTCATGACAATTGGTTTGAAGCTAGAGATCTTATGCTTATGTCTCAACTTCAACATAATATTCACAAGGCTGATATCCCATTACAGATAATTTATAATCGTGCTCTGGTTCAATTAGGACTCTGTGCTTTTAGACATGGTAACATAAGAGATGCTCATCAAGATTTATTGGATATCCAATTTTTCGGAAGAGCCAAAGAATTATTAGCTCAAGGTATGACATCTTTTTTTTCTTTGAACCTTTAATCTAATTTATATGAAAAATTTATTTGTAATAATCTTATTCGCTCTTTTATCTTTGCACATCAGGTTTATTACCAAAACCACAGGAACGAACTCCAGAACAAGAAAAGATGGAAAAAAGACGATTGTTGCCATTCCATAAGCACATTAATTTAGAACTGATTGAATGTGTTTATTTGGTTTCAGCTATGCTATTGGAAATACCTGATGTAGCTGCGAATGAGTTTAGTGTACGTAAAAAGGTAATCTCTCGGTCTTTCTATAACCAGCTAAGAAAAAATGAGGAGCAACCTTTAGTTGGTTTACCCGAATCAATGAGAGAACATGTTGTCGCTGCTTCAAAGGCCATGAGAGTTGGTAATTGGAAAGCCTGTCGTGATTTCATCATCAACGATAAAATGAACACTAAAGTTTGGAACTTATTCTATCAAGCTAACAAAGTTAGAGAGATGTTGGTCCAAAAAATTCGTGAAGAATCCCTTCGAGCCTATCTTTTCACTTACAGCCATGTTTATGATGTGATTTCTTTGGCAACTCTCAGTGAAATGTTCGACTTAGAAAACAATATCGTACATAGTATTATCTCTAAGATGATTATTAATGAAGAATTGATGGTAAGTTGAATGTTATTAATGGCTCAATTTAACCTTATTTATGCAAATTTAACACATTTCTAACCTCTATTTCTTAATTATAATCAATCCAGGCTTCTCTTGATGAACCAACTCAAACATTGATTATGCATCGTACTGAGCCATCTCGAATCCAAGGATTAGCCTTGCAACTTGCTGATAAGGTAACTAATCTAGTTGATCAAAATGAACGTCTCTGGGACTTCAAACAAGCAGGAGCGTTTGGAGGTCAACAACAGCGTATGGGCTATCAAAATAGACAAGAAAACCAAAATCGCAACTACCAGGAGTATGGCCAAAGACAAGAACGTAATAATAGAGAAAATAGAAGATCAAATTATGTACGAAACTGATCTATTCTCAATTTAATAACATAAATGCGAAAATTCATGAAAATTAATTTTGAAGTTTCTCGGGAAAAAAATTGCAAAGTAAAATTTTCCAATCAATGTTTTTTAATTGATCAATTATTCATGTGTTTCTTTCAATCTCTTCAGTTTGTGCATAAAAACATCAAATAGCACAAATTTTAAAGTCTTCTCGTAAACTTAAGATACGGCAACAGAATTTAACTTAATTTGAATATTTGATGAACAAGTGTCAAAAGACGGAAGCCAGTGGCGAATTTGTTTGGCAATATTTATACGGCAATATATTTTAGATCTGGGATTAAATTTATTGACGAAAATCGATATTACAAAAGAAACATTTAAATATCAATCACCAATGATAGATAGTTTAATTATCAGCTAAATTTATATTTACGCTAATTCGAAAATTAATTCAAGCTTAATGTTTCTGTAAAATTTGAATCTGCCCAGGACAAGTCACTTCATACTATTAATATTAAGTCCATAGGTTTAACTGACGTGAGTCTATTGAATCAACGATCTTGATTTGGAAGGATTTTGAGTGAAAAATGAATACAAGAATATAATATATCTTTAACACATCAATAGACTCGACTGAATGGAAGTTTTTCTGTAGGTTGAAGCCAATTATCTGGTGACCATTTTGTTTCATGAAAATCGACAGCATGAAATGTGTAAACAGGTCTAGGTAATTGTGACATATTAGGTTTACTTTTATGAACAACTAAACCATGAATGAGTACTAGCGATCCTTTTGCAACTGTAACTGGAATGAACTTTGAATCATCATATTTATCCTCAGGAGCATTGAATGATACCCTCGGTCCAGAATCACCTGAGTTCCTAACAAACCGTCGAGTTACAGACTCGTTGTGTGAACCTGGAATGAACCAAAGACATCCATTTTCAAGAGTAACGTCCTCAAGAGCAAACCAGAAACCTGTAAGCTTAATGGTTGGCTCAGTGAATAGGAACTCCGCATCTCTGTGAGCTGAAACTTCACCACCAATATGAGGATTTTTAAAAATAACCATACTCTGAATAACATGAGGCTCAACGCATCCTAAGCTCTTTAGAATGCTCTGAACTCGACCATCAAATGTAATTGCTTTGAAAACAGGATTCAATTCATGTAGAGCATGGCCTATTTTGTTTAAACACTGGCTGCGAGGGACTGCAAGGTTCCCATCCGAATCGAAAGCTTTCTCCTCGAAAAAGAACGATATTTTATCACCTGAATTAAGGAAGTAGTCATCACCTTGTTGTCCTTTTCCAGTTTTGAAAACAGTCCGGTGTTCATTGAGATTGAAAGTATCAACAATTTGTTTAGTTTCCTTTAAAATATTGTCAACATCACACGAGGACAGAAAATCAGGAAACACAGTATAACCATTAGACCAGAAGTCTTTAATTTTATCGTCGTAATCATTCATGATGATCCTTTTCTTTGGTTAAAGTCTTTTGATTTGTAAGTACTTTTGACATCTTTTGAAATATCAGCTGACAATTTTCATAATCAAAACAAGGATCAGCGATTTATCATTCTAAATAATATCGAAAGCTGTTAATTGAAAAAGGAGGTTCCACAAATATACATCCATATTTTTAAATACAAATTTAAGTACAAATACTATTGTACTCTACTCGTATTACTGTAGTACATGTAACCTGAATCGAAGCAACTGTGAATCGTCTAAATTAGTCATACTTTGAGTCTGAAACATTAATCTTTACTCTTCATGTTTCCATCATTTTAATTGGTAAACCATTAGAAAGGTGAAGTTGAGTTTCAATATTGATGCAAAGCTAAACAAAAGATTCAAGGTTAAAGGTTAAAAAATCTCAAAATATTTCTCAAATCAAGTCCAGTCAAAGATGAATCAATGCAGCATCGACAGCGATTAGTGTTGAAGTATCCATTGACTGGCTTGCAATGGACAACATGAGTTGGAACCGATCGGACCAGTGGAACCAAGTCACTCTGACAATGATGTAAACTACAGTCCAAGTTGCGTTCAAGTGAATCAATAAATGACTCTGAAGGTGGTGACTGGCGATTCACTGAAGGTGATAGTCTTGAGAGTGAAGGAGGATAAGATGATGTTGGTGATGAAGCCTTTGGATTGGCTGTTTGTCTGTTATTAATCTCGGTTAATTCAATTTCATATTTGACTCGTTCAAAGATTGATAAACTAGAATTGAAACAGCATTTACAATTGTCCGAGTTTCCAACTTTAATGCAAGTAATTACTTGAGATGGAAGTCGTTTAATGGCTTTAACCTGGGCACCATTACAGAGATGATGGAGGCAGTCAACATCAAATAGGTTTGGTGAAGATGAACTGGACAAAGGTGAGTTTAATGATAAACTTGGTGAGGAAGATGAAGATGAACCGTATGATTTAGAGGATGGGAAAAGGTTGATAAAGTTTGACTCCAAGTCAAGTGGATTATAGTGATAATTATTGGTGTTGTTGGTTAAACTAAGTGATCCATTGTTTAAACCATTAAATTGTGAGGTTGATGTTGATCGATTTTGATCATTTCTACGATTCGGTTTAACACAACATTCACAATCACCGTTCCCATGAGGATGACATTCACCATTAGGATCAGCCAATGAGCGGATTGCTTTAACCTGATAATCATCACAGTTCAAAACTTTGCACAATTTATCGCTGGACTTGGGCTTACGATTGATGCTAGTTGAAATTGATCGATACAGATTATCCAATTCATTGCGATTCAATTGTCGACGAAGGCAACAATGACACTGAGTGTCCAACTGGTGACAGCGAACACTTTCACTAAATCCATTTCCACTTCGAATAGCTTTAACAATTTCATCTTCAAAAAGATTTAAATAACATGGACTTGAATCAAAAATTGGTTCCACTGGTGGAGATAAAGTCGCCGTTGAATGAATTTTCTTATTCTGTCCATCATCACGATTATCATCCCATTCAGTTGAGCCCACAATCAAAGTAAACCAAAGTGACGTTAAAATTAATTCGTCCAAAGCATGAGGTAAACATGATTGATATCGATGAAGCTACGTGAAAAGACCGAGAAAGTTGAGTTCCAAAGGCAAAGTTTCCCTTTTGATTCACAGTCAACAATGAATTAAATTACTTAGAATGTCAACTTATTCAACGAATTTTTATTCTCACTTGAATCTCATGAAGGACTTTGAAGTTTTTTAATGGAATCTTTTCGTTCATCTTCATTGCTTGTTCAACAACTAAAATTTGAGCAACAAGAGAAGAAGCAAAAAATAAATTAAAAAACATTTCAGTAACATTACATTGACCATTATTATTAACGTTATTATTATGAATTAAGTGACACCGCTGATGTGAAATGATGATGATTATAGCTGAATGAGAGACAATTAGGTTCATTTTATGCGTATTATTCAGCTTGACCATATAACAAAGTTAATTGGTCATCACCTTGAAAAACAAACTTTCTTAATGCTCTCCAAATTTGATCATCATAATAGCCATCAAACAAATCAGCCTCTTATTTTTGAATGTTAATTTTTTTAGCTTCTATGTTTTGCTAATTACAATATATGTATAATATTATATTCATCTTCACATGGGGAAATTTTAAAATAGATTGATTCAAACACACCATACTCGAAAGTGATTAAATATATGAAATTGAGGGGATAATAAATTAACTGTATTATCTTTTATGCGTTAATTGGTGTGGTTAGTTCCTTACCGTTACTCAAAGACTAGGAAATTTGTAATTACATGTAGGTTGTTAGGTGGTAAGTTGTTGAATATTTAATATTGATGCGACTTTTTTTTGTGAAATCTCTTACAATGACACCTGAACTAATAGTATTGTTAATCGAAAAGCAAAAATAATTTTTTAATGTACATCTGAATTAGCCTTTTAGTTTAATGATGAATTTAAGTTTCCCTTGCTGTCATCATTATGCGCTGATGTACACTAGAGCGTGACTTCACGGGAAACCAAATAAAGAGCTGAAAATACAGATCATTTCTATTATCATTGTCAGATCGCGTCAGATTGTTTGGCAACATCCGATCCAGTTAATTATCCTAGTATAATCTAATGAATCTTGTTTGTAATTTGGTGGACAACAAAGTAAGCCAGTGAATGAATGACTACACTTTTTGTTGAGTACAATAAAATGAAAATTATTGTAAAAGTAAACATACACTTATCATACACTTATACACTTGTATTAATACTGCATTTTAACATGATGATGAACAACCATCAGAGATTTATTCAGTAATTGTCATAAAGAGTTAGGGAGAGTCAACTTTTCTTCTAAAATATCTTCAAAGTTGATTGATGAAACATTTAAATAAGATAAATCAATTGGCTTGTAGCCTAATTGATCGAAAACATTTGGACATCGATTTTGTATTGCAATGATTTGACTTGCATTCAATTCTTTAGTCCATTTGGTTATAACTTTTTTGGAGCTCCGACGAATTGAGTATGGATCAATAGTTATATTGGTAGGCAGTTCAGCTTCAGTGTTGATTCTGAGGAAACGACGAACACCAGATGTAAATGGTAATCCAAGGGACTTGAAGAGAGTCGCTCCTTTTTCATATGGATTCAGTGAAAGATCCTCATGTCTTAACGAAATTATTTTATCACCATAAGTATCAACTAATTGTTTATATACAGCAAGATCAGATTCAAAATCATCACACATCAGATTGTAATCACCGCAAGGTGTTTTGGTGCACCATTCAAGTTTACTTCGAGAATTGTAAATGGCTCTAGGATCTCGGACAAGATATAACAGTTTCAAATCAATTGACTTAGGTAGTTGATTCAACAGTTTTGCTGCTGACTTAAGGCTTAACCGGGTCACTTTAATGACGCGATATTTAGTCCGTAAGCAAAGTTGATGGATAAAATTAGGATCATAACACCAAGAACGATAGATATTACATAAACTCCAAAGGAAACGATTCCATGTGAGAAGAAACTTGTTCTCACGTTTGCGAATCCATTCAACATAACCAGGTTCCGAAGCAAATGAACATGAATAAATGTTTTGTAATAATGAGAGAGCTTCTTCATCTTGATCAGGATCAACTTTATAATTAATTTGAAACAAATGGAGAGGTTCAAAGGAGTAAAATGTTTTCCAATTTTGTTGCAACAAATCACCTACAAATGACGAACCAGCTCGAAAATGTGACACTAAAAGTATATAACGAATTGGTGTTTTGGTTCCATTGATAACAGAGAAGCTTTTTAATGGGTCAAACGAGTGAAGAAAGGCTCGCTTTCCAAGTTTACTCAGCCAACGGGAAGAATTACGTCGATCACGACTTGACATCATTTTTAAGATCATTTCAATAGATGATAATTTATGAAAAGATTGTACATGAGATGAATGAGGTTGCTTCAGACGTTTACGTTTCTTGTGCGATACTTGCTTCTCAAGGCTCCTTAGAACATCGTAATTCTCAGTGTTCAGATAAATTTTATAACTACTTGTACGATTAGCGAGAAGATTTTTTATCCTTAAAAGATCATTTTCTGCTGTAACATCTGAAAAATAAAAGATTATATTAGTTATCATTTTAAATACAATGTAGAGCATTTAAGTTAATATAAACATTACCATTGAAATTTTTGGGTATTAAAACAAGATTGCTGAGTTTGGACCAGTTCCAGGTTTGATTGAGACCATTTTGTAGAATGACCATAACCATACTACAGATTACGAACACAATAAATAACTGAAGCTTTTGCATGGTGCCAAATAATTAGATTTGGATGAGAGTGAATTAATTTGAATAAATCCTAATGGCACATAGTTTTCCATTCTTTGGGCATTCTTTTGTCAAGCAAAATTACTATTAGATGATATATGAATTACTTTGAAGTCAGCAGCATGTGGTCAAATGTCTTTAATTACCTTCAACATGACAACCAAAACATCGTCCAATTTAATCACAAATTTGGCAAAAACTGGAAATGTCAAAAAAAGAGCACAATAGTAAAAATATAAGATCATATTGCTCAAGTTGATAAGCATAAAGCTATTCATTTAATGATGAGGATATTCACTAAAGACAGTTGAAAAGAAAATATGTCAACCTTTATTTAGTTCAATTTAATTATTGTCAAGTCTTTAGTCTTTAATATTTCAAGTGAAAAATAATACAAATCAAAAAGGTATACTAATCAAGAAAAAATCAATGTTGGGTCATTCAACGACTTGAAAACAGACACAAAAAGACTTATAAAACTACTTGCACGATTAACATGAAAAGATTTTTGGAGATCAAATAAAAACAAAATTATTCTCAAACTTGATATGGAAATGCAAATTAAATCTTAATGGCAAATTTATTCAATTATTCAAAAGCTATCCAATTATTGTATAGAAACAAATGAAAAGCGTGTTTTATTACGGCTACATCCACCTGAGTAACTGGCAGGACTAGCATAAGATACATCTTATGTTTACTAAAGAAAGTGAAGTTTGGTCAACTTCAGTAGCTTATTTTCAAGATTTCTGTTCATAACTAGACTATCTGATAGTGTGAAATTTAAACGTACATTAATGACAAGAAAAGGGTTTAAAAATGTTGATATTGATCTTATAAACTGATAGAGAAAAGTCTTGGGAAAAACTTGGACTTCTACATACCTTTAAGAGAAAACAAAAAATTGAGCCAAAACTTTCACCATTGGATGAAAACCGATGCAAACAGAAAGATGACTCCAAAGGTTTCATGTAGGATCACTGGTATAACTTTCAGAGACACTAAATACAGGAAACTTAAAGTTAACAATTTAAAGAAATAATTGTTAAAAACATTTAATTTCCTCTAAAATGGATAAAAATCTGAAGAAGAAACAAGGATCAATATTATTTCATTATTAGCATTTTAAACATGAAGCGTTGAACACATTTTGAAGGAGAGAGAGAGACAAGGAGGAGGAGAATAGAAATGAATAAACAAATATAAACTTACCTTTTGTAAAGCAAATCTATTCAAATAAATATCAATTTATGGCGCTTAGTTAAACTTGGTTCAGCATAATTGAAAAATTCCTAAGGTGATATCAATATTTCAAAATTATAAAAGAAAAATAAACAAAATCTATGGTCATTAGCATCCTTAATTATTGAAGCTACTTTCACCATCAAAGAATGACCGCCGAGGGCAAGTTTTTTACTTTCAACTGATTGAAGATGGTTATGATGGTGATGTCTTGCTGGACAAGTTATAAAGATGATTGTTGTTCAAATTATTCAGCCTGGATGTAATGTATGTAATGATGAGAATGAGAATAATGATATGATTGTTGAAGAGTTTGGAAAAAATGAATTTTGATTTTTTTTCTAACCAGAATCCGGTTTTCTGTTTATTATCAGTGTTAAACAGCTTATTATTCAACAATTTCGTGAGATTGTTTTCTTGGTTTTCTTCCATTACTTCAACAAGATTCCCATTTCTTTACAATGAAAAAACTTGACGCCTTACTCAGAAGATATCTCGGCTCAAAAGGATACAATTTAAACAAATAGAATGAGTTTTTCATATCATTTAGAATCAAAATTACAATTTAAAGATTGCCCTGTCTGAATGCCAGTTGATCTGGTGTAACAGCGTGTGCACATGTACGACAGATAAATTGAACTACTGAAAGTTCACACATTTTCGATATTTCTGAAGTTCATCTCTCAGAATAAATATTTTTTTTTACCTTTCTCACATTCTCATCTTGATTTTTTCATTTATTTTGAAAAATTTAAAAGAATAGAGCTTGATAAGAAAGAGAAAAGCAAAAGAAAAATTATCAATTATTCTGCGAGATCGAGTAATCACAAAAATATGGAAAATGTGTAAATTTAAAGTAGATTTAAAGTAGTCATGGAAGTGAATTTTTCAAGTTATATACAGTAGTTGTATAACATCATACAAGTTCCATGACTAGGGGAGCTCATGAGAACATGATAATGTAACTTTTTATTTACACATTAGGTTATGCGATATAATAGGCAACGTTGATTGATGAAACAATAAATTTCATGATGCCAAAAATACAGGTAAGAAATTGAATCGAATTAGGATGAAAGATGAGTTTTTCATTGCTATTAATTGAATACATTTACAAGTTAGCTAGATCATTAAGCTATTTCAATGCATGAGAGCCCATTTGATCTGGATCCTGAGATGGATAATGAATCATAGGACCAGGTAATTGAGGTATAGCTGTTGAAGTAGATGGAGCAGAGAGAGCATAATCAGGGGAACCAACAGGTAAGCCCGGAACAGGAGCCAGTTTTACTTTTGATTTTTCCGATTCACCATCACCAACGGTCCCTCTCTTTGCCTGAGCCTTGCCCCATCGAATCACAAGCTTTTGTCCATTGATAATTAATTTCCCAAAAGATTTTTCGATAGCCTGTTCAGTTGCTTCCCTAGTAACATAAGTAACAAATGCACAGTTTTGTTTTCTCACAATAGAAACATTACGTATCTCGCCGAATTGATAAAAGTGATCTCGTAAATTTTTCTCGTTTATGATTTCGCCAACATTGCCAATGTAAACTGTTGTAATAGATTTGTCCTCAGGAGGGTGAGGTTTGGGCATCTCAGAAACTCTTTTCAAAAGTTTTTCGGCAACTGGATCATTTTTACCATAATAACGATCTTTGATGTTTTGATCTGACAAAGGATCTTCAGGATCGGAAGGTTTCTCGTGTCTATATGGACATTCAGCACCTCTTTTACATTCTCCTTTGACCCAGAACGAGCAGATATGTGGTCGATTCCTTTTGTAATACGGAGAGTTACGAGCAAGTTTTGCCAAAACATCACTGGGTGGCTGAGCTTTATGAGGGCCCCATGGCTCACTAGGGTCTATATAAAGAGAAACAAATTCACAAATAAATATATCAATCAGGTGATTGAATAAATGAAATTTATAAAATAATTACCTGATTCTTTAACAGCTTTATCCAAATTTTGATTGAAATACTCCCTGTTTACCTCATTCTGTGGAATTTCTTGAGCAATGTTCAAAACATTATCTCTCACTTGAACAGGTAAACCAAAATTCAAATCTAGTAAGCATGTTTGGCAGACATTTTTTGCTCTAGCACAGGTCTGACAGACCTCAGTCTTTTTGTATCGCATTTTAGCACCAGGACACCACCTGAATGTAGTAAATGGACGATTACAAATTTTACATTCGGACCCAAACTGGTCCTTCATCATTCTTAAATAAGGATTATCTCCATAGCAAGTTTCACAGAGAATAGGAAAAGAAGAATCTTCCCAAACTTGTCTATTATAATGAGAGGTACCCTTTGACAAAGCCATTCCGAGTTAGTCGAAGCTATTGACTTAAAGAGTTATAGAAAACAAACATGAAAAAAGAAAAGAAATAAAAGATGCAATTTAGAAATCTTATGAAACGAACGGATTCATGACAAACTTACCTTCAGGTACTGAGGATTACTTTGAGAAAACGATAAATTAAAGCAATGAAGCCAAAAGCGTAGATTACAATTAAGAGATAGGCCTCAATAAAATAATGTCACATTTAAAAAACCAAAATCAGTTGTTTTTTTAACAGATACTTTATCTGATAGATATCGTGATCAAGACTTAACTGTATCTAAATCCCACCGGTACACATTGGGCTTGTCTTGCCATTTGTCTATCATCATTTGTGTTTAATTAATATGTAAGGATTTCAATTTGATTTTCCCATTTTCATTTTCATTGTCTTAATTTACTTAAAAATACCACTTACCATATAAACTAGTTCAAAATGTTTGACATTGGAAAGGAGACTTTCACAAATTTTCGTGACAATTACTGGAATCCCCCAACACTGTTTTGGGCTATTTTTATTTTCTCATGGATAGTTTTCATCTGGGATACTTACATCGGATGGCGTCAGGTAAGTCCTCTTCGTGTTTTGCATTTCTAACGGTCATCTTTATTCAATAAAGCATCAAAAATAAGCTAATCTCTTTATGCTTTCTTTTAAGTTTCGCATCGTTTTAAATACAACCAAATTACCTGTGGAGCTTTCGGGAATTATGGACCGTGAAACATTTCTCAATGCTAGAGCTTACAGTATTGACAGAACTAAATTTACATTATTTTATCACGCTTGGAGTCAAACATTTTCATCGGTAAGCTGACTCGTTTTTGCTGTATGAAATTCAGCAAATGAAATGAATTGATCACCAAATCTTTATTCATTGGCGATCTAAAGATTAAAAAAATTCAAGACTTGGTGATTTATTAATCAAATCATCGTTCAATTTTATTATTTTTCAAAAGATTTCTAAAGATTTGATCGTTATGATTCAGCTCATTTCCTTTTAATTTTACTCTATTCTTTATCTGTTACTTTGAAATTCATCATAAATTGTTAATCTGTTATAATATTATCTATTTCTATAGTGTTAAAACATGATCTTTGTATCTTCTCTTTATCTTCTAATTATCATGTTAAATTATTTCCTATTTCACTCAGGTCATTCTATTGTGTGATCTCATGCCACTCTTGTGGGACGTTTCTGCTACTCTTATGGAGCCGTTTGGGCTTGACAAATCTTACGAGATCACTCGTACATTAGTTTTTGTCAATGTTGGCGCCTTAATCTCAAAAGTTATTGACCTTCCATGGAGTTACTATTCGAATTTCGTTATCCAGGAAAAACATGGTTTCAATCGTCAAACCCGATCATTCTTTGCCAAAGATCAAGTCAAAAAGTTTTTCGTCTCTCAAGCTATTACTTGTATCATTTTACCTGCTATTATATGGATTATCCAGAAAGGTGATGACTATTTCTTCCTCTACCTGTGGGGCTTCTGTTCTCTTATTGTTTTCCTAATGATGACCATCTATCCTGATTTCATTGCTCCACTATTTGACAAATACGTACCGTTGCCGGAAGGTTCCCTCCGAGAAAAAATTACTACCATGGCACAGGGACTTAAATTTCCTTTAACGCAAGTTTATATTGTTGAAGGATCTAAACGTTCTTCACACAGCAATGCCTACTTATACGGATTTTATAAAAACAAAAGAATTGTTCTTTTTGATACGCTGATGGAAAATCCGCCTAAAATGAGTGATTCAGGAGATGAATCATCGTTGGATAAAGATAATGCCTCTGATGGTGAGAAATCAAATCAACAAGATGCGGCTGTTATTGCTGGTGAGACTAGTGATGTAACTGCTGCTGAAAATGAAGCTCTTACCGAAGAAACCGATAAGGATACTAAAGAGAAGAAAAAGAAAGGATGTAATGATGATGAGATTCTCGCTGTTCTTGGACATGAGCTTGGACATTGGAAACTTAACCACGTAGTCATTAACTTAATCATTGCTGAAGTTCAAATGCTTTTCACCTTCATGATTTTCGGATTCCTTTACAAAGATCCAGTAATCTATCAAGCCTTTGGCTTCAATGATCAACCAATTCTAATCGGTCTTTTAGTCATTACTCAATATATTTTTGCACCTTACAATGAGGTGAGTTATCTAACTGTTAACAAATTTTGAAAACTTAGATTTAATACCCTTTTCTAATGATTTATTATTTTAGATTGTTGGATTCTTAATGACCTGTCTTACACGACATCACGAATTCGGAGCCGATAACTTTGCCAAGAAAATGAACCGTGCTTCAGATCTTAGAAGTGCACTTATTAAACTGGGAAATGATAATCTTGAATTCCCAGTATACGATTGGTTATACTCAGCTACCAATCTCTCTCACCCACCTCTTCTTGAAAGACTCAAAGCTTTGGGCAAGATCGATTGACTAGAAGCTTGATTTTCATATACGTATCGGAAACTGTTTTCTGTAAAAAAATCTTGAGAATTCTTAAATTTAGATAACGCTATTCTGTCATTTCCAGCTGTCATTTTCATCATTTCCTTTTTTCACCATTCTTGTATCTTTGTTTGGTTACTTCTAATGTAATCTTTCAATCTTATTGGTAAAACATGAAGATTATTAAAGGACCCAAAAATTTGGTTTTTGCACAAGTCGCATCAATTGCAAAATAATATTGATTAATTTTTAAAAAAAATGGAAACAGTTCAGGTTTTTCTTAAATTATCAATGATTATTCTTGTTTTTATCTCTTTCTCTGGACGGTATTGACTTGATACAAATCATAACCTACACCGTAAAGCCTTGTTACTGATAATGGTAGTAATAATAGCAAAGATAATAATAATAACAAGAACCTTCAGGAGTCCAAACTTGAATAAAAATTGATTAGTGAATTTCCTCGCGATTTACATCTTGTATCTTGCGAAAAATGAAAGCTGCATCTTGATAAAGTGTTAACACATATTTTTATCATGCTATCAAATAACGTCAGTGATACACATTACTGGGTTTTGATTGATTGAAATCGGTATAAAAGCAATTTTGTCTCAATCCAAAGTTGATGAAGATGGCGATGATAGAGACACGATTTGATTGGACTCAAAATTAGTTGGTTTTATGAGAGTGTTAAGGCTTGGTATTGATTTTAATATTGAAGAAGAGGAAGAAGATGTTGATGTTGAAAAGTCTGTATTAGTTGATTGATCATGATCTAATAAGTTAGTTGAATTTATTGTGATTGGCCGAATAGGACTATGAGAAGAACCAGAAAAATTGTTACCAAGCTTGTTAGACGCAAAAGAAGAAGCAGGAGCAAGAATTGGATTCAATAATTTACTATTCGTTGATAAAATACCATTAGGAGTTTGCTGAAGGCCACGAGTTGTTACAAGTGACGAAAATGATGACTTTGATGAAAAAGGTAAAGATGATGTGTTTGTAGCGGTAGTGGTTGATGAGGATGATGAGGATGATGATGTTATTGCAATAGGACTCATTTTGTTTTTCCCATTTAGTGTAGACTCTAAAAGATTGTTTTTAGTACTAGAGTTAAGAGCAACTTTGGTGAAATCTCGAGCAAGTTCACGGGTAAGAGGCGAGACTGATGAATTTGCTACACCTCCTTTCGGTCGAGACTCAGCTTCCAAAAATTCAACAAACATCTTTGATAGTGAATCAGGATTGGTTTCCTGGGACGAAGATTGATGAAGTCCAGACGATCCTGGAGAGGCTATTGCAGAGTTGCTAACAGGTAGTTTTTGTGAAGGAGCTAACAATACCGATCCGGTTGCAGTTGATTTCACTTTATCTGAAGAGTTTGCTGGATTTATTGGACCAACAGTAAATTTATTTGGTTGACGACCAAAAGATAAGCCAGCACGAGACATTTCTTCCTCGTTGAAATCTAATACACGAGCTAGTAAACGTTCAACTTCATGCTTTTTATCATTTGGTGTACCGAAATATCCAAGTATCAGATTTTTAATAACTTGCTTGTCAACCTTTCCTTCAAAACTAGTCTTCAAATTGGCTATATCTATCTCCAGTTTAGATATGTGATGGTCTTTATCATTGAGCTCTTGTTTCAAATTTTGTATAATCTTCTCCTTATTGTCGATGTTTTCGGTCAATCTAGTTGCAGCTTGAAGAGCTTGAGAAGCTTCGATTATCCTTTTTTCATAAATTTCAATTTCTTGTCGTAGCTCGTTTTGTATTGCACGCTCTGATTCTATAGCAGCTTCATGTTGCTTCGCTAAAGATTTAATTTTCTTTTCATTTTCTTTTTGAATTTGTTCAATAACCAACTGCAGATTGGTCACAGAAGCTGTTAAACTATGAACTTTATCATCCAGTTTGGATACATCGTCTAAAGCTCGATCTCTTTCCTCTTTCAACTTTTCCAACTGTTCAGAAAAATTTGGATCATGTGAAAAACCAGTTTGAGAAGCTTTCAACTGCGATATTGATTCCAGAGCTTGATTCAATTCGTTTTTCACAACAGCTTCTCGAGTTTCTAGTTCCAATATTTCAGAAGTATAATCATCTTCGACCATAATTAAATGCTCTTTCAGACGTTTGAGTTCATCTTGCAATCTTTTCTGGTCCGAAAGCATTTTTTCATAAGTTGACTTGTCAATAGTAACATCATCTTTTAACGTTTCTTCAACACTGTCCAACTGTTTTTTATCCTCATGGCAAGAGTTGATTATTGCTTCATCAATATGCGTCACCTCAGCTTCATCTCCTATCGTGCCATCTTTGCCTAGATGGGCTTCCATTGCATCACTATCATAAACAGTATTTTTATCGATTTCGAGATTATTCGAACTCTCTACACATTTGTCATCTAAGGCACCATTCTTGTCATCCGATTTCTCTTCGTTTCCAGTGCCATCGACATTATCATGTTCACCATCTGCTCTTTCTTCGTTATTGTTAAGATTTATTGATTGAAGGGTTGTTTGACTAACATCACCGGTTTCATCAGGGATCGGCTGGGTCAGATTATCTTCAGTTGATTCTATCATCACAAATTGTTAAAAATTTGAAGGCTGAAAGGAATGCAGTTTAGACAATAGTCACAATAGTGTATAATTAGAATTAAATAAATTACAGTATTTAGTAAATTTAACAGGACTCTTAAAACATCATAACATTTGCTGTTGACACTAAATCAACAGCTGATTCTTAATCATACACTCCACCTGCTGGATTAATTGTAAAGCTTAAGTTTCCGATTCACAATTTATTAATGGATGGAAAAATTCCAAGCTCTTGCAATTAATAAATCTAGTGGCAGAAAAGCACAATGAAAATAGATTGAAATTTGATAGATTAAGTGGATTTTTATTTGATAAAAAACATTAGCTTAATAAATGTCCTAACAAGGTAGGCTTAAATTAACATAGTCAAGTGTAGTATTAACTTATTACTAGAATATCACGTTTTAGTGGACTCAGTTTTTATGCCCCCACAAACCTACAAAGTCCAAATTCGCAACTCAAAATTCAAAGTTTTTATGCAAATTCCTTGCTTAGTAAGCTGAATTCTGATTAAGCTCTGACAGTTTTTCGGTTTCAGTTTATAGTTCGACCATGGCTTTCAGGTTGAGTAAAAGTTTTCCTTGAAATCCTTTTAGTTCATCCACAATTTTTACGCAAAAATTTCATATATCTACATATTGCGTATTTAAATGTACAAAAATGTTAAGTGTCATTTTCCCTTTTTTTTACTGTCTATTTTAGTCTCTTTTTTATCTGCTTTTCCTGAGTTTCAGGGTTGGGTTCTAAAAATTTGTATATTTTTCCGGCGACAAAGGCCATAATCTTTCAGTTGCGATTAACAGGAATTTAAAGACCGTTTGAGTGTGGAGAAATTTTGACAGAAAAATACCAAAACAGTATTAATATATAAGAAGATGATAGAGTTAATCTAATAATAATCTGTTCGACATGGATTTGACAAAAGAGAGTGATGATACAAGTATGAACATGAAAAGATGACAACTCAAGTAGTTCAATAATAATGATAATTTTGGGAAAAATTAGAATGGAAAAGTAAGACTGAACCATGAAATAAATTTTTTCATCCAAACACATCCTTCTCCCTTCACATCCATAAGTTATATTTGATAAAATTAGTCCTATTGTTTCAACGCGTCATCGTAGTTAGAGATGATCATAAAAAGTGCTTTGATTTGCAGTTGATGGTGTTGATAAAGATGATATCATGTTAATAAGCCCAATCTTAGTCATTATCTTCCCTTGTTAACTGTTTTTGAGTATCGTGCATCTGGTACGAAATGATTTTAACTTTTTCCTTTTATCTGGTTGATTGATTCCATGCAACTGGTGATTGATGCTCTCTTGAAGGAATTGATTTTTCTTCCTTATTTATACAAGTTTAATTTTTCGGGAACAAAAATTGCGGTGTTCAGTCTCCTCGCCCGCTTAGCGGTCTATTGTTGGATGCATGATTACTGGGCGATGAAGGCGGTCGTGGGCCTGAGGTCCTTGCAAATAAAGCTCTTGTTCGATTAGGACCTCGAGAAATGTTAGATTTGTATAGACTATCCTTAATATTATTATTTTTACCTCCACTGTTTGAAGGTGATGAAAGGCAGTTACGTTCTCTGTCCATTTCTATTTCTTCTAGCTTTTGAGTTAAAGTTAACTTTTGTCCTATTGCCATTCGAAGAAGAGAATTCAAAGTTTTCTTTTCATCTTCCGATGATTTTAACTGTCGTTGAAGTTCATCAATTTGAGCAACATACTCTTCACACCGGGCTGAGAACATTGACCGAAGAGAAGCGAAGGTAGCAGCATCTTCTTTCAACGCTTTCAATTCCTTTCTTAATTTCGTCATTGTTTTCGTAACAACCGCCTTTTCAGTCTCATATTTAGATTTGAGGTTCGCTAAGGCAACCTCGGCAGTTTGCTTATTGGCTTTTAAAACGGTTCGAAGGGTAGCTATTTGTTCCCTTTTAGTGGCTAAGAGAGCTTTCAATTTGACCAGTTCTTCTTGAGCGTCACCACCAGGATAAGGTGAAGGTGATGAAGCAATTCCAGAAGAATTTGTTATCAAGGAATGTTGTTGAGAAGCGGGTAATGCATTAGCTTCATTGGCAATCTTGGTGCGAGCTGGAGTTTTCATATCTATTATTAATTCAACGGCATTATTCAAGTGTCTCATTTGGTCGTCAATGGTCTCCATAGTTTTACGACACTCAGTTGAAGCTAGAATTCCTGATTTCCAATTGCTTAATAGTTTTCGGCTACGTTCATCATTGAGAATATCTTTAAGACCTTCAGTTCGAAGACTCAATGGAGCTTCTGATTTATTAGCGTGATCTAAAATTATGCGGGATGGTTCTTCACCGTTTACTGAACAAATGTGGTAATATAAAGTAGCCAATTTTTCAGATATTCGGTTAAGATCTTCAACTGTTGCAGCTGAGCCAGAAGAGGTTTCCTCGGCAAAATTATTCAACAGATCAAGATCAGTAGAAAGGCTATCACGTAGAAGTTCACATTCCTTCAATTGTCTTTTAATTTCGTTGAGTTCGTCTTCTCCTTCAGGACTTTCTTTTGACTTGCTTATTTTTTCACACAGCTGACCAATAAATTGTTTATATTCAGGGAATTCATTTTCAAATGCTTCAATCATTTCATTATTGCCTTCACTATTGATTATATTGCTGATATGATTAGTTAACTTGGATAATCTTGATTGTTGGGCTAATAATTCAGTTTTAGTTTGCTCCAATAAATTATGGGTCTCACTAAGCTTCAGAGCAAGTTGATTTTTTTCATTTTCAGCCAACTCAAGACCTTTCTCAAGTTTTTTAATCTCAGTTAAATGGACTTCACCAAAAAGAGATGAAGGTTGTGATGTTGATCCATCATGTCCATATGAATCAGGTTCGGATCCTTCACAGGCGTTCCGGGCATTTAACATATCAGATTCCAATTGATGTAGCAATGGTGATGATCCTTCATCATCGAGAACTTCACCAACAGATGCATCAGCTGATACCTGACTTTCAAATACAGCCAATCCTGGGAATCTTAATCCAAAATTGGTCATGTTCAACATAGGATCACTAGTTAATCTTTCATCTAATTTCTTTTTTAATTCGTATTTTTGTTCCCTCTCAGATTCAAGAGCTTCCAAAGCTTCTTTCATCTGTTTCTCAGCAATATTTTTCAAAGTCTCGAATTCTTCCACTTGAAGACGTCTTAGTTCGATTTCTTCTTGTAACCGTCGAACCTCGTGTTTCGCCGTTTCGTAGTCGATTTGATTTGATTTAAGATTTGAGACAGTCTTTTGTAAACTAATATTTTCATCTTCTAATTCATTCATGTCACTTGACAGTCTTGATTCTCTCGTTTTCAGTTCTTTAATCTCCAAACGCATATTTTTCCTTTCCCATTCAGAGATTTCCAACTGTTTAGACAAATCGTTGTGCTCAGAAAGTAATCTTTCTTTTTCAGCTTCTACTCGGGCTAACTCAGAGCGAACCAATTTCAATTCTCTTTCAAGTTCTTGTAAAGCTGATGCAAACTTGGCCTCTTTAGAAGCTGACTCCTGGAGTAAACTTTCCTCTTGTTCAATTCCTCGATCCGCAGATACCTTTTGACTTGTTTGAAACGAAGCAAAGGCATTCCTAAGCGCTTCTAATTCAGTCCGAGTTGCTTCATGCAAAGATTCGAGTTCGTCGTATCTCACTTGTAGTTTATCTTTTTCATCTAATAAATGCAGGCCCAACTCAGCAGATTGATGTTTCTCCTTAGCTGAAAGGGTAAGCTCCTCTTGTAGTCTTTCAATCTCCAGTTTGAGAGCATCCCTCTCAGCAGTCAACTTTTCCAACTCACTCATGGTAATTTGGTTGTGAATCCTTTCTTAAGGTTTTTTCTTATTCACCAAGGCATTTTTAAAAACACAGTAACTTTCTTGGCATTTATTCCTCTACGAGAACCGATAAACTCAAATAATAATAACTCGTTGACAATAGTGCAGATGAAAGGCTGAAATTGAAGTATCCACTGTTGATAAATATTGGCTATGTTGATTACACTATGAAAATTGCAATGGTAAAAAAAGGTGATGATAATAAAGATGAGGATGAAGATGCAGATGATAGTAGAGAAACACTGTTAAATCGAAAGAAGAGAGAAAGGAAGGGAGGAAGGGAGAAGGAGAAAGACAGACATAGAGTGGAAGATAAATATAAGGATAGAAAGAAAGGAAGAGAAAGAAAATAAATTAAAGATCACAAACCTTCAATCAATTTTTCCCAAAACAGCTACAGCTTACCTGTAAAGTTTTGTCACCAGATGACTCTGATAAGATTGAATCATTGAAAATACATTGAGATACAATGAATGAATTGAAGAGAGAAACTCAAATTTTCTTGATTTGCAGCAATTAATAACCAATGATAAACGTCTCTCTAGAAATTTTCTCGTTAAACAATTCAAAGTCCAAAAATATTTACGTCTTATCGATCAGGAACATTCATCATTATCACTTTGCTTGAGAAAAAAAGCAAATGATTGGCATACATATTAGGACATTCACATATTATCACTCTTAATATTAAACCAGTTACAACAATATGAAAAAAGCGAGAAATTTGATGTTAAATAGAACGGTTCATGACAGGCCAGTTTTAGAAAAGCTTGTTTGATTGGTTGGATGATTGTTTGGGTGGGCCAAATGAACGAGTTAAAAATTAGCTGTTATGATTGTCATTCTCAATCCAAGAGTCATGGGGGTTAACCTGAAATAACAACAATTACCATATTTAACTGATACAGCAATTAGCATAATTCATCTTCAAAGTTACTTATACCATTAACTGGTTGTTGAAGGTGATGAAAAATTAGATGGCGATATTAATGACTACAATGAGAATATTGAATACAACAAAGGAATTTAAAAGTTGAATATTGAAAGATTTTAATGTTGATTTAAAAGGTTCAACTTAGATTTAAGTTCATTTTGACATAATTAATTAAATTATTGATTCTCAGGTTTATTGATAAACTGACTGATCGGTTTTGCCAAGTTATGAGAATCAAAATTGCGATCGTTTTATTTGTTTTGATGTTGGGTCATTAGATGGCTCTAGGTTGGGAAAGGTAAGCAAAGGTGGCAATAATAATTTACAATTGATGATCAAGGATGAATTGGAATGAGTATTTATGATTACGAGGAAAGGATGGGTAAATTGATATTATTGTTCAAATAGTAATAACTGGTTTACTACTTTTTATAACATGTTTTAAGGTTTATCTGCAATTACAGTGATCAAGGATCAGCGATAAGTGATAACTTTTTGTCTTCCAGCAACTTTTTACCGACTTTGTGTTATATTTTTTAAGCTAATTCTTACATGTTTTATATTTAATTATTTATACTTAATCATAACACCAATTTTAAACATTGACATGGACTCTATCAACTTGAGAACTTCTTTGGTAAAACCAATTATTCGACAATGGATGTGTCAAGGATCAGCCAGTTTTACTCCATCTAATTTTGTTCTTCCCCTGTTCATCATTAATAATGACGACGAAATCCAAGAGATATCTTCTATGCCTGAGGTTTACAGATATGGCGTTAATCGAGCGATTGAATATCTTTCAGGATTGGTCAATGATAAAGGACTTCGTTCAATTTTATTGTTTCCAGTTGTATCAAGCAAATCAATAAATGATTCAACCGATCCTGCTTTTAATCCTGTGCTTCGTTTGATACCATTGATTAGGAAACAATTTCCTAATCTTTATGTAATTGTGGATGTTTGTCTTTGTGGTTTCAGTAGTGATGGACACTGTTATGTAGCCAATGACAGTGATGGAGTAAAAGATAATGATGCTACTTTGACTGCATTGGCTAACCTTTCTGTAGCTTATGCTAAATCGGGTTGTCATATGGTTGCTCCAAGTGACATGAATGATGGACGAGTAGCTGTGATCCGTTCTGAACTTAATAAATCGTCGTTCAATGATGTCAGTATCATGTCTTATTCAGCTAAATTTGCTTCCAATTTTTATGGACCATTTCGAGATGCCGCTGGTAGTGCACCAAAGCATGGCGATCGTAAATCATATCAATTAACTCCAGGATCATCCGGTTTAGCTATGAGAGCCATTGCTAGAGATATTGCGGAAGGTGCGGATATAATTATGGTTAAACCAGGATTACCATATTTGGATATTATCTCAGAAGCAAAGAATAGATTTCCAGATATACCAAGAGCAGTTTATCATGTTTCCGGGGAATATTCGATGCTTTATCAAGCAGGAATCTCTGGTTGTTTTGATTTGAATCGTGCCTTGTGGGAAATTTTGATAAGCTTCAAACGAGCTGGAGCTGAAATTATTATTACTTATTTTACACCTAAAATACTTGATTTACTCAAAGATGTTGAGTTATAAATAAAAATTGAAAATGATTGAAATAATCTTAAGTGATTCATAAAATATTCAATAAAGTGTATTGCTTGAATTTAATCGAAAATATTTTCTATATACGAAAATTGAATTGAATAGATTCCTAACATGGTAATTAACTCAAGTTTTAGTTTTCAAGCATTGTTTATCAATTGTCTGATATCGTTCGTTTTGAATTAAAACTTATTTCCCTTGATGATGAAAGATTATTATTATTCAACTAACAATTGTAAGTTTGCTTGTGAATAAAAATCATATTTAGTTATAACAATTTATTGTTTTGCTTTGAATATTGATTATTCGATGGTCAGAATTTGATTAGAAAAGGTGGAAATTAATATACAGTTTGATTAAAAAAATTGTTCATCAAAAATTACAATTTGAAAATTGAGCTTGTGAAAATTGGTAGATGGAATTTACAGGATATCTAAATAAAATAAATCGAAAAGTCTGTAAGATGGCGTGTCTTGAATAATAAACTGTATTTAAGTTGATCATTGTTAACTAATTAAACTAATCGTTCACCGATATCGCATGGCCTTTGGTTTTCATCGTTTAGAAAGTTAATTTAAACAGTTTTGTTAAGCAGTTAGCACCAAGGAAGAGGTATAAAAATTGAATAAGATCACGGCAGTTGGATTATTAGCAATGAGACTCCAGATTCTGAAGTATCATCAGGTCGAAGCAGCAACTCTCCAAATGAAACGATCTAACGTGAGTAAAAGCTTTCTATATTTGGCAATTTTAACAGAATTATTGTTGATGAATTTGTCAATGACTCGAAAGAATGGGAATTATTTGTTTATTCTATGCTGTTCTTCAAGCTTTCTCTAACATCTTCCGTGCTTTGAGTATCAGGATCAGCTTTGAGTTTAATCGACCTTTCTTTCATTTCTAGCCCCGAAATGTCTGGTTTGCTTCCATTTTGACTATAAATTAAAGCTGCAGCTTTTCTCCTTTCATTTCTAACACGGTACCAAATTACCAAAACTATAACTAAAACCATATAAAGTGTAACTCCACCGACAGTGATCATCATGGTTTTAGTCATTCTTGCTTCCGATTCATGTTCAGAAAGCTCTGATATTTTGACAACAAGATCAACCTCAGCTCGTTCGAAACCTTTCAAGTTGCCTGCAATGCAACCATATCTGGCTTGATCAATGGGTGTAGCATCAAAAATTACCAATGAACCATTAGGAAATGTTTTAACCCGGTCATCGGTGAAATCTCGCATTTTATTTTTGTCCCAGTGAATGATAGGCAATGGATCACCCTCGGCTCTACATTCAAGTAGAACCGTTGATCCAGAGGTTACTTCTAATTGCTTTGGTGGTGTGTGAGTGAATTTGGGAGCTCGACCAACTTCAACATTAACAGTTGTTTGGATAGAGGTGACTGAATCACTGGCAAAACATGTGTATTTTCCTGCATCCGTCGAAAGAACACCATTGAATATTAAGGTTCCATTCTTTTGTGTAATATGGCCAGGAAGTCGCTTCAAGCCATTTTTTTCCCAATATACTGTTGGTGTCAAATGTCCTCTTGTTTTACAAGAAAGTTTCGAGACCGAACTTAACTCGAGTTTCTTATCAATTTGAGGATCAACGAACTTGAGTTTTTCTTTGACTTGCAAATGAGTTGGTTCACCTATTGGACCAGAATCAGTATCCGCAAAACACTGATAGGAGCCAATATCATTGACTGTGATTTGTTTTATTACTAAGCTAGCGTTGTTGGAATGGTAGTAATAATGAGGATTATCGTGAAGCTTGAGAGTCACATCGTCTTTTTTCCAAACTACAGATAAATCAATATCATCCTCTTGACTTATATCGACGTTACAACTGATCATAACATCTGCGCCCTCGTCTTTTTTAATGTTTCTTCGGCGACCAGAACAAAAATTGATGAAGGCATTGAGAAAGAAGTCTGCAATTGAAGAAAAACAAAATTTATGAGTAATTAAGTAAAAGACAAAATTTATGCAAAAATTTACTTACACAAAGTTAATAAGTATTTGAAAGCTAATAGATTCATGATAAAATGAAGACTAGAAAATGAAAAATTAAGAGATGAAACTTTTGAATTGAATGATATGGGAGGTAAAATTTTTGACTTGACTTGATGCTGAGAACTTGACGGAATTAAATTTTTTGACTTGATAATAGCTTTAAACATTCTAACCAAATTAAGTGATATAATGGTTAGTTTTTACCGGCAACACAAACAGCTGGCTCACTTGTTTATCTTCCATAGGTCTGTAAGAAAACGAGAGGAAAAGTATGAAATTATAGAAAAATCTTTGGAGATGATTATTGAAAAATTATGAAACAAAATACACAAGAATACACACATGCAGTGAAAAACAAATGAACGCACAATGCACACTTTATAAGAACACTGACATGTGAGAATGACAATTGTGAAAACCAGTGGGTAGGGCAACAAAAATCAATTTCACGAGCAGAATGAATTCTGTTCAAAATTAATTTTCACAAAACTGTAAAATTAGTGTAAGGTTTGGCTATGTTTAATGAATTCAGCGAGGACCAGTTAGGTCAATTCAATAATCCATCAAAAGTTCACTTCTAATCTAGAAAGCACTTTCACTTGTAAAAATTTTTGTCCACAAACTCATACTCAATTAACACATACCTGTTTAAATCACTGGATCACCTATTCTTGACATTATTTAACAAAATTAATAAAATCATTAATGTAAGAGGGAAAAATATTGACAATAACAAAGGGCCATTAAATTTACTTTACAGAGTCAAACTTACTTGTTAGATGATTTTTTGTCAAAGCTCCATCTTTAGTGTACAAAAGTTATTAAATTGTGAGAAATAAATTTGTTGTTGTTTTGTCAGTATTTTTTTATAGTGCAAGTTGTTTTGTTTTTTATTCATTTTAATTACGATTGAATTGTTTTTTCTATTTTCTTGTGACTATTTATTTATTACAGTATTGCAGTATTTAAAATCATCTCGAATCAAACCAGATTGGTGTTTAAACTAAATTTCTGCTGAAGCCTGACAAATTTTGGTTTGGGTTGTGTTACATATTTTATTGTTTCTCATATACATCCCATGTTTTACAATTGTCACTTTATCTAATCCATTCACCATTAATTCATCAATTTCTTCATTAATCTCTCCATCAGGAGGGAGTTTGTCTATGAATGATACTACAAATGGTAACTGGAGTACGATACATTCTGGTAATAGTTCAATTGTTAACAACCCAGTCAATTCTTCAGTTAACTTGAGTAATGTTACATCAAGCTTATTGGTGAAGAATAATTCAAACTATCACCTAATGTTGAATTCTACTGTTTTACCGACCTCTCAAGCTATCAATACTTCTCTGGCCTCTCATTCAGCAAATATTTCTGTCACAGAGCCACTTAATTTGACCCCATTGTCTGATAGGCTTAATACTACTCTCCCTTCAGTGGTTAACCGTGTTGTCAACAAAACCTTGGCTAATTTTACGACTCAGCTTGCTCCAAAAGCTGATAAAAGTCCATTGGTCACAACTGTTCCCTCAATTCAAGCTGGAAAAAATCTTACTAATTACGCAAACTTAACCTCTAGCTTAGCTATGGAGCAACCTGATCTCGAAAGCTCCACCAGTGGTTTATCAGTGATCTTTATTGGCTTGTTTTCTATCATCGTATGTGCGGCAATAATATTCTTAATAGTCATTTTAGTTCGAAAGAACAGGTTAGATAAATTAAGACACCACTTAATGCCAGTTTATAACTTTGATCCATCTGAAGACGGTGAAGACTGGGAAACTGAACTTTTGGAGGAACCATTTGGATCTCAAAGTTATGGAAACGACAACAAGATGAATTCAATAAAATTAGATTCTGGACTCACTGGAGGACTTAATTTAAAAGGCAACAATTACTCTAATGGAAGCTCAGGAAGTAAAAGTCGTCCAACGGCTGCATCAGGTCTTCTCTCAGATAATAATAATGGCAATCATTCATCTCGCTATCTTTACACTAATGAAAAGCCAGTTGTTTGATAATTTTGAATCAAATAAAACTAACCAAAAAATATTAAAAGCCATTTATTCGTTCACTTTCTCCGATCGTAAATTTGGTTCCATAAACTACACATCGATTATATGGGTGGTTGTAATTAATTACCTTAGAATTGAATCTCATTCGCAAAACACTTCAACCAGTTCAGAGATTACATCAACCAAAAAATTCACCACATATAGAGCTATTGATTACCATGTATGGATGATGCTCTGTTATATGGACCCATTCCCAATAATTTATTTGTGATTGAAGATCTCTCTTACTGCGTAACTCATAACGAAAAAACAACCACAAACTCCGATCCTTAAATATCCCAAAGCTGGTTCCGTTAAATTTAATTATATAATTACAAACTTACTCATCCTTTTTTCTCCTCTGTTGTTTGTTAAATCGAAGCGACCTTTTCATATCATATTAATTTCTTTACATGTTACTTTCCCTTTATTTTCATTTTGTAAAACATTTCTAAAATAATGTAATATCTGGCTGTGAAACCTGTAATACAATTAATTCACCCTATAAATAATGCCTCACTTGAATTTATCAGAATAAGAAAGAAGAAAGAAGAATAAGAAGAAACGTTTGAAGAAAGAAAAAAGTTAATCTTGATTTCCATATTGAATTTTTCGTCTTTGAAAACTTCGTTGATACCAAATGGGATATAATTTGATAGCTTTTCTAGTTAATTAGTTTACATTTTCAACTCTACATTTATTCAAAGCGAAATAAATAAAATCAATATGTTAAACATTAAAATATAAATCATTCAGAGCAAAAAAATTGATCAATCAAGAAATCAAAATGATCGTGAAACCGTTTTTGCCTTTTTTAATTCTCATTCTGGTGTTAAAATGTTCACAAGTGAATGGACATAAAAGATGGTCAGGTAAAGTAGAATTGTTATTTGGTTTATTTGTTCTGTTGAATATTTTCCCGTTTTTAGACTTAATTTTCTTGTTTTTTCATTCAGAGAGTAAATTGGAGCGATGTTCGAGTGAAAGGCAAGAGTTCAATGAATGTGGAACCGCCTGTCCACCCACTTGTTACCTGCCAAATCCTGAATTTTGTACCCGAGAATGCGTTGCCCGATGTTTTTGTAAAGAAGGTTATTTTGAAGCGTTGGATGGTCAATGTTATACTGAGCAAGAATGTGTAGCAATCATCAATGCGCCTCCAAACACCGAGTCTCATGAATCGATGAACTATCATCTTACCACAATTCAAAGCTATTATAAGTATGAATTTTTCGAAAAATAGTATGAAAACCATCAAATTTTAACCAATAGAGCAAAAAGTGACCCTTTCAATGCAAATTTTGTCACTTATTCTTTCGTCTTCTCTTTGATTCTCATTACAAATAACTTGTATTCAGTTATTACTTTGAATTAAAAGTTCCAAAATTATTAAATATCCGATCTCATTATGTAATCCATTGGCAATTTATCTAAAGAAATAATATTTCAATATCGCAAAATTAAAATGCTGTAAATAATGTTAGTAGGGTAAAGTTACTGGAAATTAAGACACATAAACAGTACAGTAAAGCAGCAGATAGTGTTACTCCTTTGAGATAACTTATTTCTACAGCAAGAGCTATTCATTGAACGAAAAATGCTTAATTCAATTAACAAAATTAAATTGACTGTCAGAAGAGCTAACAAATTATTGTATATCCTCCCAATTGCATTTATAAATAATTGTATTCAGAATATAATCAAACTATCAGCTAAGTAACTCCAAAAGCTTAATTACAAAGTGAAACATACAAATCTGGATGCACGAAATCACAGGAAGCTCTGAAATTTTTTTGCATAGATATAAATTGTTCAGTGATAAAACACCTGAGACAGTTGATCTTTTGGCTTCAACAGCGACTGGTTTTAATTAGATAATTTAATGCAGTTGGAAAATTAATGACCAATACAAAGGTAAGCTTTTTCATTGGAGTTAATTTATTTCCAAAAATTTAGTCAACCATCAAAACTTCATTTTATGAGGATACATATTATTACGAAGACAGAAATAAGAACCAAGGTAACCGAACATGAGCTTCTTATCGGGATGTTTTCGAATAACGTCAATTATTTGCTTGTCTACTTCAACTTGATCTTTACGATGTTGAAGGTTAGGCTTGTAATCTGCAGACTTTGTTTCAAAGATGTTACCTGCTCCTTTCTTTGATTTAGCCTTTAGACGAGCAAACTTACGACTCTTGAAGTATTTATCATTAATATGCTCTGGAACTTTTACTCCAGAAACGTCCAGTTTTACGCTAGTCACAATAGTGTACATTTGATGCATTCGTCTAAGTGGACATCCGTTGATTTTATGGGGTCCAGTGATCATAAGCATACCACTAGGTAAAGTTTTCAAAACAACTGCTCTTTTACCCTTATGACGACCAGCTAAGAGGATAACTACACGTCCTGGTGAAATACCTGAAGATATAAACAAAATGTGAATAAATATAACGTAATGCGTAAGATAGTGATGCAGACTAGAAATTGAAAAATTACCTTTTTTGAAGTTCTTCTTGTGCATAGAAAAGCAGACTTTGCCTGTTCTACGTTTCCTAGGCTTGACCTCAGTTGGATAGAACCTTTGCTCTTTTTTCACCCTAACCAAACGTTTGCCACCATTCTTTTCTCCTCCGATTGGTTTTACCACAAACTTGGGCTTTTGCTTGACTAAGGTATCAGGAGCAACACCCTTCTTTTTAGCCGCACGCTTAATTTTAGCCCATAATGGTCGAGTTGATCTGTGGGTCAAAAGCTTAACAACTTTTTTGGGAACAACTTTCTTTTCTTTTTTACCGGCCTTAGACTTTTTCTCTTTCTTGGCAGCAGGAGAAGCGGCCTGCTTGGGAAGTTTACTCTTAGTTTTATCCATCTGAAAAAAAGAAAATCACAATAAATTAATTGACCAAAGATGTTGATGAAAATAACACGTTGAAAAACCGGTCAGCTCAGCAACCACAAAATTACAGCGAATAACAGAGACTGATTAGTGATTCAAATTAAATAACAAGTAACACAATAGATGTTAATAGTTTAAAGTAAACTAATCATAATCACTATTAAATAAAACTTAAATAACAATTAAAAATTAAAAATACTTACCATTAAGATAAATTGTAAAAACGCTCAGAGTTTAGACGGAAATAGGAAATAGTTTCTGAAATATGCTGTCTTCTAGCTTACTGGTGACATCTAGCGGATAGTTTATAGTTGCCCTGCGTTACAGTAAAAGTACTGAATTCAAGTGAATATTTTGTTTTTGTTGACACCATCTGATTTTGATTTTGTGTTTCTTTGTTAATTAATCGATGATTACGCTGACTGGTTATGTATATCACACAGAAAAAGCTATTTACGCGTTCCTTTTGTATTCAAGCAATGAAAGGGACAAAAAATCTAGTTTCACCAAACCAGACTGGTTACCGTCAACTTCGCAATTACCCTTGTCATTTTCATCAACCAAACAATCATTGACCGAATCCTCTTCAGACTTGTCAATTAAATCATCAGAGTTAGTTTCGAAACTATCTTCATTTTCATCTCTGGCATTTACTAAAAGCTCGACTATATCTAATGGACTTGAAGAAAGCTGCCAATTCCATATTGACCATTGGTGTCTTCAAAATTACAACCTTACACTCTATCAGTTGATGTATGTCTTCAATGAAGTCCGAAGGAGTAAAAATTTTACCAGATCACTTGTCAAAAAGGAATTGATACCAAAGACTTATCGTAAAAGGATTATTACGCTGATCCGTAATGGAACTGATTTAGACCTAATCGTTAAATTCAGAGTCAATGATTGTGATTATGCTCCAATTGACTGGCATGGGTTAGTATCAGTTGTTATTCCTATTATTTATCTGACATTATTTACATCATTCTATCCATTTCTTACAGGAATTATTTGATTCTAGCCTTGGTTTCCATCAAATTAAAGATTGAAGAAACTCTATCTATACTATCTACTCTTGGTGGAGCGTATTCATCTCTTGGGGAAAATTATAAAAATTTTGTAAGTAACGTCTTCGCAAATTGGACTGGCCTTTAATTCTGAGATTACTGACAATTATGAAATCAAATTATGTTCGCTTCAACTCACCAAATTTCAACAACTTAATTTATTTTTTCACTTTGATTGTTTGACGTTTATAGGCTATTAAAGCCGGAGAAACTTCATTGAAGCAAATTGGACTGGCGTGTTTATCCGGAGATCCAACAGTTATCGCTCGTTGCTCGATTTACATGGTATATAGCCTTTGTCAAAGAGGACTTCCCAAAAAAGCGAGAAGGCTGATGATCAAGTTCATTTATCCTTATATAAAAAAAATGATTACTAACAAAACCTGTGATAATATCCTCCGCAATATGTACAAAGCGGCCAAGTTTAGAATAGAGTTTTATTACAAAACTTGACTTGTTTCAAACTGAAATATTTAAGAATTTGAGGAACTCTAAATTTTTGTATTCTTTTTTCAATTTTCTCCATCTGATCTCATGACAGAATCTACATAAATTTTGTAAAAAATTCTGTTCAATGAATTCCACTGGAATCGGATGTAAGCTACATTAATTTTCTTTTTTCAGGTGTAACGATTGTGTCTTAACTTATAGAATATTCAGAAACTATTTTATCTGATAATTCATGTTAGATTGACTTCTAAAAGCTCACCTTGACTTAATATTCTTAAAAAATTTGCAGTTTTGAAATCCTGAGATCCTGAGCCAGACTCAGAAAACTAGAATCATTATTCACTAAAATTTTGTTTACTTTGACATAATATGTCTCATGTTTCTTTGATCAAATATTATATTGTTATTCCAAACCTTTTGTACATGTAACGATTGATTTTCATGATAAAATTTGGAGTTAAATTAATTTTTGATGAGTGATTAAAAAGATTTCATTAAAAAATTCATTTCATTTATGTCGGTTGTAATTTCAAGGAACAATTACTATTTTTCAATCAACATGTCATTTTCAGAGATCATTCATTATGAATCTAAGCTTGAAAATTCTTTTTCATTTGAGTAATCGGAGTCAATTGGAATTATTCCAGTTTTTTGAAATAATATTCACATGTTTAAATATCAGATGGAAATAATTATTGGCGGTTACGATTAAATGCTTATATGAACACTAGATGGCAATGGCAACCATTCTTGACTTTTTTATTTCATTTATTTTAATAAAATAATTTTATTTTATCGGTGGCGCCTTAAAAGCTGCCTAACAAGCCACGGTGTGCAAATAAAATATTTCATTCAACTTTAAAATTACTGTTATTTTGAAATGAATAAGGGAATAAGTAATATATTATTGACCTTTATAATATACACACCAATCGATCTTGTTCGAGTTGATTAATTGGTCAGCCTGATGAATTTCCCTTTTTTCCAGGAAATAGACCCCTCTTTAAGAATTCAATTATGTTAATCTAACACCTTTTCTGTTGAAGACGAAGGTGATGATACCAGTGAGAATGCTAAAGAAAATATTTCCGCATGGACTTCTGATTACTTGTTTGAATCAGCTCCTAAAAGATGGTTATTTTAGGCGTTCTGAGTTTTTTCGCTCTCTCAATGATCTCAAAATCAAAATTCTCAAAGATCTCAAGATAATATTTTTCAATTAAAATCATTGGACAACTCAAAGAATCAAAGTTTTGATAATTTTTCTCGGCCATTAGCGTTTTCTAGTTCCTATGGATCATCCCATGGTTCAATCGGTGGATTTAATTAATCTCAAAACTCACCTGCCTCTCAATCCTCAACTACTGTAGTCAGGAAGGCTCTTGTTGCAAGAAACATTTGAAATACTTCCAGAAACCAGACAAAAGTGGCAAAAAGCAAATAATTGAGGATTGTATCATTGATATTCATGCTTTATATTCTTCGACCCACAATGGATACCTGAAACCACCTTTTTCACATAACATGCTATGTGCCTTAGCTATCTGTAGTGTTCCTACTCGTCAACAAGAAGTCTCTGAAGTTTATAGATTTTTAATGTAAGCGTTTATTTGTGTTTCACCATTTTTCAGTTTAAAAATTCTGATTAATTTTTCTCAACAGGGCTTGTTTTCCTTACTTCAAAATTGCTGGTCAACATTGGAAAAATTCCTTAAGACACAGTCCACAGTGATTGGTTCGCTAAATCAGATAGCCCACGAACTGCCAAGAAAGGGTATAAATATACCACAAGATTGAGTAAAAAGAATTGCTTGAAGTGCGAAATCAAGAAACAATGCGTTTTTGATTTGACAAAGCTTCATTATCGATTATCACGCCCAAGTAAGTTTGATTTAAACAACATTCATCATAACTTTAAAATTAAATTGTTTCTCTTCTCTATTACAGCCAAAGAGTAAAGAAGTTACTCTTTACTCTTTGATTACAGCCGTTTGTGAACTTCTAATCAACATGGGTTTGATTTCATTGAGTCACGAAAAACTTGCCGAGCTTTGACAAAAGAATAGGGAATTCTATACTTCATTTCCCGATGGAATCAAAATTGAAAATCCTGAAGAATAATGGCGCTGAAGCTTCATGAGTTTATGTTCAATCATTCCCGTTTCAATTTTTAATATCCACAAAAATTCTAATATTCTTCCATTAACAATTTTCTCGGTAGATACTAAAAAGCTATCTATCTATATTTTCTGACCTTTTTTGGATAATTACCGAATTTCCCGACAGTGCATTTATTTCAAAACGCTAGCTTGTTTTTTTTATTAACCTTCACGACCCAGACTCTAATTGAATTATTGCTGTCAATTGGAAGAGACATCATATTTGATCATTCACACAGATTTATGATTATACGTTCCGAACATAAATTTTTATGCACATATATACTTATTCTTATTATTATATATCTACCTGTTGAATTGTAATCAAAACAAAATTAAATTTCATCTGTTTTGGTTTATAATTTGATTTGATTTCATTTTTTTATTTTCCAAATTTGTTACTAATTTTATATAATCTCCTGAAAACAAAATAGCATAAAAAAGGTTCAGGTGACAATGAAAATACTAGACAATCATTATAAACAAGGAGTTTTAATGAAACCATTCTAAATCATTTACAATGACTTGCTAATTGAATATATAATTAGGCATAATAGTTAAGGTTTGTCTTCTTTTTAGCCTGTACTTCCAAAATAGCGTCCATAAAATCTTTATGGATTACTAAGCCTGCATTACGACGTAAAGCAATCATACCAGCCTCAACGCAAACTGCTTGTCTCTCGTTTTCAAGTGAAACTGAAAAGGGATAAAAACAAATTCCCAGTTCGTCATTTGATACATTTTTAAAGTAAACTTGAATTGAGATATTCATATCAAAATGTATATCTAACATTCAGTTGTCTTTGTTATTCAGGGAATATAAATTTCTGTTTCTCCTAAACAACCTTAGGCTTTCCAATCCCTTCTCTTATAATTCAACATTTTATTGCTACATTTTTGCAAATTCTGAGCAAATTGTGAATAAATTCAGCTTTTCCTCTCATTATCATCTTTTCATCTTCTTTATTGCTTCCATCTATTCACCAGTTTATCATCTATCAGTATATAGTTTGCTGTTTAAACAGTAAAAGTTAATAAAAATAATAATAATCAGCAAGTTATGTTTTGATAAATGTATTAATAATAACACTTGAGACAAATGGTAAACATTCAGTAACTTTCATTTCTTTGACAATTTGTAAGACTAGAGATGATACAAAATTTAAATTGTTACCATTCAAATTTGTGTATATTAATGTTTGAAAATGAATTGACTTTTCATTCTTACTATTCTTACAAATGTTTTTCGCTAATTTTCAATAATTTCACCGTTTTTTGAATCTTATCAAGATACCAAGAACTTTATTAATATTCAAACTATAAATTTCGGCGATTTTCGTGCATCTAATATCCTCAAAATAAAATTCAGTAATTAATTTTTTGATCGCCTAATTAACTTTACGATTCATTTTCACTGAAAAGACTCAAAAAAGACTAACATTTGCTTCTATTTAGAAAGCATTTTCTCCTTTTTAGAAACCATTGCTTGCTATTTGGAGTTGGTCCTATTAGCACAGAGGTGTTAAAAGTAACATTTCTTGCTTATTGGAAACCATTGTCTCCTATCTAGAAAACTGGTTCAGCCCAAGTGGAATGATTGTATATGTTGAACGATTGCTAGACATAAATTAATAAAATTGTGCTGTTTGTTTTTCATTATCGTATTTCATTATTTATGTTATTCAATTAGTTTGCATCTCAAAATCAAATGAATTATAATCATAATTTCAATTTGATAACGATTTTAATCGATAATGTAAATAAATTGATCTACACTCGGCAGGTTTGCGTAAATGATAACTCGCTCAACATGAGAAATGAGTGTTGGATGTAATTGTAAATTTTGCTTGATTTAACATGAATTTCTTTCAAAATTAGTTGATAATTTAATCGAAAAAGGTTTAGAATCTGATTAAAATGATGATTATAATTATGGCTATAAAATGCCATTCAACAGAGAACATATAAAATGTAAATATCATGCACAAGCTCATTAATGTTCACATTTTTCTCTGTTATCTAATAATTATTCTCGTTTATTCTTTCAGTCTCTGTCAACCCGATATTTTAATGAAACTGGTCACATTGGTTACATCTGATCCACCTGATGATGCTGATGAAAGAAATAGATATAAATATGCTAACATGGCCTATGAGGTGTTATCCTCCGAAAAAAGTCAAATTTGTGAAACATTTGCTAATCATCCTGATTTAGTGTCAAATTTGTATGAAAAGCTCCAATCTGCAGAACCGTTGAACCCACTTTTGGCTAGTCTTATTTGCAAAGTGATATTTAGTTTATTGCAAAATGTGTCTAAAGTTTCTGATGACATTCACTCGAGGCGAGGTGATTTTGTTTCATCTTTAGTTGCCAACGTTGGCACTTCAGCAGTTATGGATCTTCTCTTTAAATCTATTTCATGCTCTGCTTCGCCCGAAATATCATCAGCTTACCTTAATGTAAGTTTATTTTCCCGCAGATTTCGCATCTTAAATCTCACACCTTGATTTTATTTTTATTTATGACAGTTCTATTACAAACAAGGTTTGGTGGAAAAACTGATAGCGCTGTTTAAGGCAGATGTTGATCCAGCTGCTCAATCGAATGCAGCCCAGCTACTTTGCGATATACTAGTAATTCGATGCAGTCGAGAACATCAAACTTGCAATCTAGAAAATGCTGGACCAAACTCTCTATTGGATGATATAGAATCGACTGACACAATAACCAACTTGTTAACCAATATGTTTGAAACGAGAACTGAGTCATGCCTGGTTAATGGTATTCAAGTTATCCAAGCTCTTCTGGAATATCGCCGCTATCGTACCAATCTGCCGCCAAAACAACCTCCTGTTGATGAAGAAACTGGCGCAGAAAGTAAAATTGAAATCGGTGATATTGGCACAATGGAAAAAATAGTTTCATATCCCATGTTTGCTGTCAACGAAACAGCGTTACCAGATTTGATGACACCGATATTGAAAGATTAACGAAAAGTGTGCAACAGGTTCATGCTGCAATCGTGCCTCGCCTCGAAGATTTTCATTCCCTGCTCACCAACCCGCCAGAAAAGAGCTCAGTCCGAACTACAATTGGTTTATTGAGAAACCGTTCGGCGCCACCAGAGTTGAGGTGGTTCATCTCATCAGAACTTTATTAAGTAGCAATAATCCGACAATTAACCGCAAATTAACTACTCTAAAAACATTGCCTGTTTTGATGGATCTTTTTTTCGCTTATCCATACAACAATTTTCTACACACTCAAGTTGAGCAAAGTATTAATTGCATTCTAGACAATCCAAAGTCTACCTCACCTGTAACAAGTCCCACCGAAATAGAAGAGAAAGGAATGGTCAAGACGGAGAAACTAATCCTGAGTAGTAGTACAGATACACAAGATAACTCATACACAAGATAACTCACATTTAATCGATATTTTATTAATAAAATTGACCAGTAAATTAAGTTAATGACCATGTTAACTAATGCGGAACTATTTTTGAACTTTATTAAACAATTATCTAAGTTCAAGTTTAAGATTAATTGTTTGCAATTAGTTTGAACATGAAAGTTTTTATGCTTCGATGATTAAAGGAAAAGGGTTAAATAATGATACTTTTGCATTAATAAAGTAAGTTTGGCTAATTATTTTAATTATTCTTGGCTTAACAAATGTAACAATTTAAGGTGCACAATCAACGAAAGGGTTAACAGTGTACGTGTTCTATGTTAATAATGGATCGTTGCACAAATGTAGCAATTTTACCGAATGCAATTAACGAACTGATAATGATACTAGCAATACTTTGTTCAATGTCAGATAATTATTTTTTCGTTACTCATTGCTGAAAAAATGTTTCAACTTTATTCAGCGAGGCATGAAATGAATAATTTTGATTGAAAACGGAAATATATAAAAGGGTTGATCTCTCTCTCTCTGATGCTAAATTGTCCTTGATTTTTATTCACTTGTTTTCTAACATCAACATCAACAACATCAACATCAACATCAACATCAACATCAACATCAACATCAACAAAAAAGTTTTATTTAGTTTTATTTAACTTAGTTTTATTTAGTTTGATTTTGTTTATTTAGACAAATAAAGGTAAGTTTTTTATCGTTTATTTATCAATAAAATCACCATTATTTAACAAACTTTTTTTTTCTTTTCAGTATCAGCACCATCAACACCAACAACATCAACAAAATCAACACCAACAAAATCAACACCAACACCATCAACACTAGCAACAACAACACAAAAAGGTATGTTTTTTATATTGTATATATTTATATATATGTAATAATTTTTCTTTTCTTTTTTCAGGATCCACCACCACACCAACAACAACACCAACAACAACACCAACAACAACACCAACAACAACTCCAACAACAACACCAACAACAACACCAACAACAACACCAACAACACCAACACCAAACCCAACACCAGCACAACACCAGCACAACACCAACATTTAAAAGTAAGTTGATTTACCCTTCCCTTACCTTATCCTTATCTCTTTCCTTGCCCACTCTTTGCAGCTTACCTTAACCTTATCTTAAATACCTTTACCTTTTTTCATCCTACCTTAAATTAACCTTATCTTACATAAGATTAAGATAAGGTGATGTAAGGTAAAGGTATGAAAAGATAAGGTTGCGGTAAGATAACCTTATCTTTTATCACCCTTTCCTTTCTTTATCTTACCTATCTTACCCTACCTTTCCTTTGTTTACCTATATCATTTTGCGCATGCCCCCTATATTCAAACCCCACCCCACACCTATATACATGTCCCTCCCTCTTTCTTTTTCCCTTTCTTTTTCTCTTTCTTTTCCCTTTCTTTTTACCTTTCTTTTCCCTATCCTTTTCCTTACTTTTGCCTTAAAAGGTGTAGGTACCTTTACCTTTACATGTGAATGTACCTTTACATGTAGAGGTAAATGTATCTACGCTTTACCTTTACATGTGAATGTACATTTACATGTAGATGTAAAGGTACCTTTGCTTTGACTTATCATGTGAATGTGCCTTTACATGTAGAGGTAAAGGTATCTTTGCTTTACCTTTACATCTTTATGTACCTTTATATTCAGAAGTACATTTCCCCACATTTTTTTTTGTTTCAACTGAACTGGAATCAGACTTAAAACCTTTACCTTTATTTTACCTTTATTTTTACCTCAGTTTTTACCTTAGTTTTTACCTTTGTTTTACCTTTATTTAACCTTTATTGCACATTTGTTTTTACCTTTATTTTACCTTTATTTAATGTTTCATTTACTCTTGTTTTTACCTTTATCTTAGTTCTGTTTTTACCTTTATTTACCATTGTTTTACCCTTGCTTGTGACTGTATTGATTTTCATTTACATGTAAATGTATTGAGATCTTTAATTTACGTTAAATGTATTAGTACCTTTACATTTAGAGGTTAATGTATTGATACCTTTACATTTACAAAGGTACTAATACATTATCAAGTAAATGAAAAGCAATGTGAATGTCTCACCTTAACTTTACTTCATCGATTACTGCACCTGTGCTTGTACTTATACTTTACATTTTCCAGCTCTTGTGGCTACAAATTCTACCTCTACGTTTAGCTGTACTTTTGATTGAACCGTTGTACATTCTTTTGCACGTACATGTAAAATTGACTTTACCTTACCTTATTGTAACGTTTTCAACACAGGTTACATTAAACTTAACGTATGTATAAAAGAAACTCTTTATTTATTAATTAACTTAATTAACGAACATAAGTTGTGTGTTGAATCAACTAAATAGATGAAACCGTAAAATTAAGTATACTAAACTAAGACTAACTCTAGATTAGATTTTACATTATATATATATATTCATCTCCATCTTCATCATCATCACCAACATCCTGTTGGTAGCCTTATAAGGCTACATTCTAAACTAAGTTTAAAATAAACCTTAGCCTTGATTTGAGAGTTGGCAAGATTAACTTACCAACTCTCTTATTTTTAGCATTTTCCCCCTCCTCAGGCTCAAAAGGTCCCTCTTTTGTCTGTCTAGATGATGATTCAGCAGATGATGATGGAGTTACAATTATGATTAAAGGTTTTAAACTACATGACCACCATTTACAACATATATAGTGATCATTTACAATTAATGTCTTAAAGATTAATTGGCTAAGTTAATGTTATTTTCGCAGTCACGAAATTCATCAAAATTTTCACGTAATCTGCGAAAACTTAAGTAATAGTGATTTAAATGATATTTCGCTATGAGAAATTCAAACTCATCTATTAACAGGCATAGTCTAATTCTCAATTTCTGAGTTCTTCTTCTGTAGTTCAAGGATCTGGCTTGATGATACCAGTGATGAACAGCTACCATGTATAACATTTTTTCGCATAGTCGCTTTTCTATTAAGTATCTGCGAACTATTCTCCTTGTGGGGATGAAGTTGCCTGTTTCCAGAAGAAAATCAATATCTTTAATTTTATGGCGTGCGTTGGTCTGCATGAATTTCCAATTGTGCAATTGGTTTTCCATTTCTGAAATATATAATAAGGAATAGATGAATTAAATAATTAGATTAATTAGGTAGATTAAATTAAATGATTAATTTTCAAGTTAAGGTTACAATTTGAATTACACATTTTTCAACTAAATGGTCTCCATTTAGAACATATATGGAACCATTTCAATTAATTATTCTAAAGTTTTAATTAACTAAAATCGAACAAAGTTTTTAAATTCTTCTATGTATTCTTTTCGTATTATGGCATAAAAGAAAGTTAGATTATTGCATTCGATGTATCTTGCAATTTTTTCCAAGGCGACAACGTATCTCCAACCAGGGCTTGGAATCTCCTGGTTTTACTATGTCCGTGTAATTTGTTGAAATATAATTTTCTATAGGTGATAGCAGCTTCCAACATTAGTTCCAGGACGCTGAGATATAGCATGTAGCGATAGCGTACACGCCTCGGGAGTGGGAATTCTTCATCTAAGATTTGTTCATTATAAAATCTAATTTTTTCTTCGGCATATTCTTTTACATGCCTCCAATTAGCTAGACTGGATCTATATTGATCTTCCATTCTGTAAAATATTAAAAAAAACAAAGATCTTGGATTAATAAAGGTGATCAACATCATAACTTTTCGGGTTTTTGGCCTTAATAATGGTGCCTCCGGTCACCAGGCCGACAAAGTTTGGTGTTTTTCTATTTGGTTGGACGTAAGTTTTTCTTCTGTTTCTAATTTTGCAACCAATAAACAAACAAAGTAGACTAATAAAAGACATGAGTCCTGTAACCCCAATTAGTTGCATCAATGGATTAGAACTATGTCGTCTGATGAATTTTACAGCATCAAAGTTTTCAATCACAACTGGTTTTAATTCAAAACTTGACATGGTTGGACTCAGTAAGAGATTGATTTTTAACGTTTCGGTTGCATTTATGGTTCTTTTTAAGTGAGTAACATTGTAAAATGTTTTTCCAATTGTGAACACAGTATCTTTGGTTATTCTGAATGGATAAATTGGACAAGGCTCAGTGATGTCAAATATTGTAATGTTGGTATTAAAGCAGTATATATAAAGTTCTTCGTTGGCAACTTTAATTTGTACATCAGCGCGTTTAATTTTTTCAGTGCAATTTTCTGTTTTCCAAAATTCATCCAGATTTTTATATTCCGAATCGATACAATCGTTATCATCAGGATTTAAAATTAGATTGTCCTCGTTTTCAATATCTTCTGGGTTAAAAGGACGTATTGAATAATTTCTCCAAACTACGTATTTTGGCCCTCGATAGACTTTGTTGCAATAATGGGTTTCATTGTAGTGAATCAATCGGAAAGGGTCCGCTCTATAGATTATTTTGGTATTATCTATTACTGGTGAGTCGAAGTTCACTTTCAGTCTGCTGGTTCCATTTCGTTCACAAATAAAATCTGTTGCCATTTCAGTTGGACAGTCTTTTCCACATTCTAAAGTAATGTTGAATATCTTTAAAAAATGGTCACTCAGTTTTTTATTTTTGATGTCGCGTTCGGCTAATTCTAATTTGGTCTTGATTGCTGATAATTCAATCATTGTTTTCGATGTCGCCAGCAGACTTAAAGGTGAATATTTAAAATAGCTGTCCATTCTGTCATGCATTTTCTTCATTTCGTTTGCTAATTTTTGTTGGTTACTAGTCAAATTCCGCCTAGCACTAATAAGATTTTGGTCTTGTTTGAATCTGTTGTCTAAATCTTCCCAAATTTTATCAATCGCATCGTCTTGATCCATATTTGTCCATAAATTGTATGCTGGTAAAGTTATTACTCATTACTCCAACTATTGCAGTTACCGCTACATATACTCCCAGAGCTATCAAGAGACCTGCTCTTTTTGTCCTTCCTTTAATCGGACATAGTTTGCTGAGAGGTTGGAAAATTGAAGTTCGGTGGTTTGTTGACAAACTTGCTCTGTTATTCGTTGAAGATTTTTAACGTCGGATAGTAGTTCTGGAGGCCTGGTAATTGCACACGCATCAGGTAAATTTTTCGGAGTTAGACAAACAGGACAGACTGGGCAGACAGGACAGACCTCTTCTGGCGGAGGTTTAACAATTTCAGTGCAATTTGTATTAGAACAATTTGGGCTTAGAGTGCAAAATTGCGTAATCGCCATTCCATGATTTTTTTCAATAATATCAATGTGATTGAATTGTTTTTCTGTTTTGAGGAGTTTCAACGTTCCGTTGGACGTTAATGCAAGGCATGCGAAGTCTGTTGGACAAAGCTGAGAATCTCGCACATAAGGCACAGGCTCCGGAGCATTGTCGTCAGGCGCGATTACGGCCTGACGTCTAGTTAAGATTTTAATTTCAGGACAAGGAGCTTTGATTGCTATCATGATGTTGTGAGTTATTTGACCTTTTACAATGGGTTTATTGCTATTTTTCCAATTTATAAATGGAGCAATTGAAAAAGCAAGGTGTGAAGGAAAGAGATTTAAAATCAGAAGTAAGCACAATAAGGTTTTAGCATTTTCTCCCGAACAACAAGATTTCTTTTTCTCTCGGTGATTTCCTGTCATTGATCTAGTAATCCTTCTACCAGTTGTTGAACCGTTAGGTTTATCTGGTTCGTAGTACTTCTTAAGTCTATTGATATGTGCCTTCTTTTTATCAGCTTTTTCTCCAAGATTTCGAATCTCATATGTGGTTTCACCAATTCGTTTTTCAACGACATAAGGACCTTTGAACAATGGAGAAAATTTAGTTTCTTTGAAGTCGTTCTTCAACATCACCTTATCTCCCTCTCGGAAGAATTCGAAATCTTTGTCTTGGTCGTGTCGAAATTTTTGACTTTCTTTGGCAGAATTTGTGAAGTTCATTGCCATCTCTCGAATCTCTGGCCATTGTTTTTCAACAAATGTGACATATTTGTTGACTGAATAGGGGTTACTTGGCTTTTGTTGTCGTTCAATAGCGACATCTATCGGTAATTTAGGTTCTCGACCATAAATTAAGTAAAAGGGTGAAGCTTTAGTACTAGTATTATTAGCCGTATTGTAAGCAAAGGTAATCATTGGTAGTACTAAATCCCATCTTGGATTTTCTTGTACATAGTGAGTGATCATTCTTGTTAAAGTTTGATTAGTTTTTTCCACTAAACCATTAGTTTGAGGATGGTAAGGGGAAGATAAATAATGATCAGTTTTAAGAAAATAGTTTATCTCTTTAATTATATTAGAAATAAAGTATCTTCCCTGATCGCTTATTATTATTTTTGGAGAGCCATGTCTTGACATAATTTGTTCAATAATAAAACGTGCAATTGTTGTCGCTTTCTGGTTTTTAGTTGAACGTGTTTCAGCCCAACGTGTGAAATAATCTGTACACACTATTATGTATTGTTTTCCTGCTGAAAGCGGCAACAGACCAAGCATATCAATGCCTATTTTCTCAAAAGGATGGGACGAGGTAATAGATTGGAGAGGAGCTTCAAGCATGAGAGGACCCCTTTTGTTGGCCTGACAAACGGCACATTTCTTAACATAGTCATTGATATGTGTGGTCATTTTAGGCCAATAATATTTGGCTGTTATTTTCTCATAAGTTCTCTGGAAACCAACATGTCCAGAAAGAACATCATCGTGATAAGCTTGAATTATTTGTTGTCTTAGATTTGAAGGCACTATATTCCAACTATGTTCCAACTAGTTTCGTAAGGTCTTTTCACTATACGATAAACGATCCCTTCATCTATTTTGTATCTTTCTAATTTTCTTTGGGTTTTTATTGGTTTCACTGCTTTATTTTCAATTTCACATTTTAAACTCCTAATGTAAGGATCGTTTTCTTGTTCAGTTTTTAATTGTTCATTTTGTAAAACGTTTTGCATAGTTAAAAATGCAAATAATCTTTCATCGTCGTCTATTTTAGCTTCTTCATTTTCTTCTACGTCAGGGTATCTAGATAAAGCATCGCAGTCTTTGTGATGTTTCCCTGACTTATAAGTTATTTTGAAGTTGAACTGTTGAAGTAATAACGAATACCTTAGCAATCTGGGAGGTAATTTTCGTTTAGACTGAAGAAAACATAAACTGCAGTGATCTGTAAATATTTCAAATTCGATTCCATCCAGATAAGGTCTAAACTTATCAATTGCGTAAATAATTGCGCAACATTCTTTATCACTAATTGCATAGTTGAGTTCAGCTCCACGTAATAAACAACTTGAAAAAGCTACAGGTTTCCATTGTTTCTCAGTTTCCTGTAATAAAATTGCCCCTACTCCGTAATGGCAAGCATCACATCGTAGTTGAGTTGGCTTATTAGGGTCATAATGCATTAGTACAGGTGGATTGATCATTTTACTTTTGATTAGATCGAAAGCCTTTTGTTGTTCTGTTTCCCATTTGAACCCAATGTCCTTTTTAGTTAAATCTGTTAGAGGTTTAGCAAGAGTTGCAAACCCTTCAATAAACTTTCTAAAATAAGAGCAAAGTGCGACAAATGCTCTAACATCTGTTAAGTTCAAAAGCACTGGATAATTCTTAATTGCCTTTAATTTGTTCTCATCTGGGTACTGACCTTCTCTAGTAACTAAGTTTCCTAGATAAAGAATCTCAGATTTACCAAAGAAACACTTAGTTGGTTTCAAAGTAAGATGAGCTGACCTCAATCGCTCAAACACAAGCTTCAAATGATCTAAATGTTCATCAAATAATTTTGAAAAATAATAACATCATCAATGTAGACTAAAACACATTTATATTTTAGTCCAGCAATAACTCTGTCCATTAATCAATGAAAAGTTGCAGGTGCACATGGTAATCCAAAAGGCGGCACTGTAAATTCATAAAGACCGTCTTGTGTTACGAATGCGGTCTTTTCTTGATCTTTAGGATCCATGGCTATTTGGTAATAACCACTTTTTAAATCCAGTAAACTAAAGTATTGTGCACCTTGCAAACAATCCAAAGCCAATTGAATGTCAGGTAGAGGATAAACATCCTTCTTTGTTATTGCATTAAGTTTCCGATAATCAACACAGAAGCGTTTATCCCCTGTTTTCTTATCAACTATGACAATTGGTGATGCCCATGGTGAGTTGGAAGGCACGACAAAACCTTCTTCAACAAGTTCATTAATCATTGCTTGAGCTAAATCCCTTTTAACAGGAGAAAGCCTGTAAGGTGGTTGATGAATAGGTGGGTTATCTTCTGTGTTGATTTGATGTTGAACCAAATGAGTGCATCCTAATTTGTCATTTGGAAACGAGAAAACATCTCTATAATCTTGAATTAAGTTCAACATGCAAATAGATTGTTCCTTAGTTAGACTTTCATCAAGATTGAACTTCTCATTTGATTTTATTTCAACTTGATTAGTCACAAGGTTGACAACTTGAGGTTCTACTTGACTACTTTCATCCTCACTGACGTCTGATTCTTCCCATGAATCTGGCAAGGATTCACTTTCTTCCTCTTCTTCAGTGTAAGGATTAACCTCAATAGTTTCAACTTGTCTAGCTTTTTCTCCTTCACCATGTCCTATGTAAACACTCTTTTGCCTTATCCCTAAATATAAATCAGCTTCCCATGAAACGTCTTGGCCTAATAATATTTCGATATTTGCTGGCAAGTAATCAACTACCAGTACTGTTGTCTCAATTGCCAAGTCTTTATTTTCTCCTTTTAAATTTAGAATGACATCTACTTGTCCTACTGGAGAGATAGGAATATTACAAGCAGTGCCAGTTAAAGGACCTTGATAATATTCAGGATTCTTGCCAATTGAATTTGCTACTTTTCTCGTTATTATGGTTACGTCAGAACCAGTATCAACCAATGCTTGAAACTTCTTTGATTCAATTTCAATATTCATAAAGATAAATTTACCTTCAGCAAGGGATGCATAAAAGGTTAACATCATACTCAATGATGGAGTTTGTGTCGCTAGATTAATTACTTTAGGTTTAGTCCATCTATTATTTTGTTGATTCATAGTTTGATTGGATTTGTAATTCATATTTTGAGTTTGATTCGATTGACCCAAACCATTGTTACCTTGTCTTTGCTTTGCATCGTAAATTCTTTTTCTACAATACTTGTAAACATGCCCTAATTTCTTACAATAGTTGCACTCGACTGGCCTTTGAGTTGGGTTAGTATTGAGTCTAGAAGGGTTTTGAATTGTCATTGAAGTTAACCTTTCATTCATCACTTCAACTGACTTTCTTAAATCACTGAAAACCTTTTCTAGACTCGTTTTATCCATTAACCCTTGTTCATTCAATTGCCTCTCATGAGTGCTTTCTGCAATATTTGCTCTTTGTAACAGAGCTGAAACGTCTTTTATTTCAAATTGATCAATGTATTGTAGAAGTTCAGGTAACAACCCTCTTAAAATGTGTCTTAGGACCTGTGGTTCTGGCATTTTAGAATCAACTCTCTTACAAAGTTCTTGTTTTTCCAATATATAATTAGCAACAGATTCTCCTTTTTCTTGTTTACAATCATATAATCTTGTTTCAATTATTGATCTATAATCAGCTCTACATAAATCTCTAACCATCATTTGTTTCAAATCATAATAAGTTTTAGGTGCGTCAGGGTTATCTGGACTAGCATAGCTGACATACCATCGCCTAGCAGTTCCATCAAGGTATTGGGCTATTCCCTTCAGTCTATCCTTATCATTCCATCCTACTGCTGTTGTTTCATATTCATACATTTCAAACCAATCAATGAAATCTTCTTTTCTATCATAGTAAAGGGTCTTAATATTATTAGGTTCTCTGAAGTTTTCAGCAATAGTGGCAATTAAATGTCTAGGCTCATTACCTTCATTATTTGATTGACTTGCTAACTGAGTAGACTTATCATTTGAGATCTTAAAGAATTTCTTAGGTTGAGTTGTCATTTTGTTTTGATTTATTGTGCTTAGGTTTAGAGATGATAAGAATGTTTTGTAAAAATTGAGTCAATTAAGAATCAGTAGTAATTCGTTTATGAATATCAAGTAACAATAATTCACTTTTTATAAGAATCAAGCATTAGGTGAATAACAGTAAATTTATATGACAATTATGATAACTAGGCAGTATTTTATTACCTTTAGTCCGAGTAGCATTTTAAGTGTTTTAATTGATTCAAATAATAAGACTGTTATACTTATTATTTTAAGTAGACAGTATGATCCTAATAATGATAACCACAATTAAACAACATTTCATGGTTACTAAGCCAAGTATAAGTTTGCGTCTAAATTATCTCAGCTTGAGCATAGAAGAGTATTAATATATCATGTGTTTGCTCTCATGAATTCTCAAGTCAGCGTAGTAGCAATTAAGAATTTATCTTAAGTGAAATCAATAGTTCGATTCTATTCATAAATTAGTTTAACAAGAAAACAAAAAAAACAACAAAGAAACAAAAAAAAACATAAAAAATACGCAAGATATAGCAGAAGATATAACTATTCATTTCATCTTCTAAAGACTAGAGAAAAACTAGATTAAAACTTGAGAGTGAGAAATAAATTTTATCTTAAGACACTCTTACCTTTTTTTAAGTTTGTTCCAAAGATTCAGTTTGTTCCTAATTGAATAGTTGATTTCGATTTTGAAGATTTACGATGACGATTGTAGGGTGAACAAATAAACATTGATACACAATTTTTCACGAAATAAACAAAACAAAGTTGTAATAATTAATTAAAAGAAACAGTTAAAACATAAGAAAAATAACCAAGTAAGATCGCTGAAACTTGCGATCCTAGCAAGATCGCCATGTAACGTTTTCAACACAGGTTACATTAAACTTAACGTATGTATAAAAGAAACTCTTTATTTATTAATTAACTTAATTAACGAACATAAGTTGTGTGTTGAATCAACTAAATAGATGAAACCGTAAAATTAAGTATACTAAACTAAGACTAACTCTAGATTAGATTTTACATTATATATATATATTCATCTCCATCTTCATCATCATCACCAACATCCTGTTGGTAGCCTTATAAGGCTACATTCTAAACTAAGTTTAAAATAAACCTTAGCCTTGATTTGAGAGTTGGCAAGATTAACTTACCAACTCTCTTATTTTTAGCATTTTCCCCCTCCTCAGGCTCAAAAGGTCCCTCTTTTGTCTGTCTAGATGATGATTCAGCAGATGATGATGGAGTTACAATTATGATTAAAGGTTTTAAACTACATGACCACCATTTACAACATATATAGTGATCATTTACAATTAATGTCTTAAAGATTAATTGGCTAAGTTAATGTTATTTTCGCAGTCACGAAATTCATCAAAATTTTCACGTAATCTGCGAAAACTTAAGTAATAGTGATTTAAATGATATTTCGCTATGAGAAATTCAAACTCATCTATTAACAGGCATAGTCGTAACAGGAAATTAATGTCGATTTTGAATCTTGTCCTATTTTGGAACAAAATCTAAATGGTATCAAAAGAATGTTGACACAATTGTTTCTTAAGGACATCAATTTGAATAAGTTTGTTAAATCAGAAAGAGATCGGAGCCATAATTAGACAGATCAATCAAGAGGAAGATGATGATAGTGATGAGGAAGATTCTGATGAAGATGATGTTCTCGGTTTAATTAACTTTAATAACCTCTCCGACGGAAATCATGCAAATGCAGAATGGTAAGGCCAACTTATGGAATATTTCACCAAATATTTGACTGGAGAGAAAAAGTCCGCAATTGAAAAAATAATCAAAGGAGATGCGAAGAAAGCTTATAGATTATCAACGAAAGATTCGTTAATTTGGGTTGGCAATTATCTGTTCCTTCATTTGAACAAATTTTTAAGCCAGTAAAGTTTACTTTGAATACTACATGTTGATCTGTAAAATACTGTAAGAATTGAGATTTTTATAGTTTCCAAGAATCAATATCCCAAAATTTGAATATTAAACTAAACCTTGTTCATAAAATGTTTCCCAGAAATCGGCATTAAAAGTTTACTTGGAATACAACAAAATGCAAATTGGGTAAAAAAAAGAAAAAAGGTCGTAAATGTCAGACCAATGCAAAAACAAAATACAATTTATGTGAGAAGAAAATGGTGAAATAAAAGGTCACGTAGACCAGGTCAGGCCAAAAAGAGGTCAAGTCAAAGAGATATAAAAAGAAAAGAAGAGAGAAAAGAAGTCAGTCGCAACTTAGTATAATTTTGGACTCATCATTTCTAAAATAGTATTTTTTTGTAAGAAAACTGAAGTGAATCAACTATAAGAAAAAGAATAAAGTTAATTGAATAAAAAGTGAAATTCCTATTTTGCCCTTTATTTCTGTCATAGGTCTGACAGTAAAGTCAATATGTTTTCCCTTTTCTCTTTCCTATCCTCACCAATTTCCCACCTTACAATTATGGCGGTTCCACCGAGAGGTCTTTAAGGCCTCAACTCATCAGAACTCGTGCCTATTTGGAACAAATCTGTGCTTTGCTGAACGCAGTGAACTCTTTTGATTTTAAGCTTTGACTTTGATCCATTTGTGTCGTTTATCAGCTAATTTTCCTATTTCGGACTAATCCATCATTTTGAACTAAAACTATCATCAACCAACAGAAACAATTGTGTATTCTTTTTATTTATCATCACATCTATATAATTGATGCTCAGCCAATTCTTTGCAACCATTTTAATCTGATTCCACCTCCAATCATCATAATCACTCAACTTATTACACATCATTTTTACCAACTCTTGATCATCTGTATTAACCAATAAATTTTGACAATTACTTCTGGACAATGTTATATTCATCAACAATCATTATCATCACTCATCATTAACCAATCATTTCAATGGTAAAATTTTGCTAACCAAAAAGGTAAGCTAGGTCTGACAACCTCTTTTTGACCCTTCCACGCATGTTTCATTTAATTTTATCCTTTGATTAATTGTAATTGCTTAGCATAAGTAAACGCCAGATTCGGCAACTTCATCCGATATTCCTGATCAAATTTCCGAAAGTCCCCTTGAAAGACTTTGTGTTTTGACTCCCGAGGAATTGAAAGCCATGAGATCTGCTTTTCCAGTTCTCAGACCTCCGAAATTAACTCCTTTTGATGGACAAATTTCAGCCCAGGTTATCAAATTTCTTGATGATTTTAATACATTTTCAAGTTCTTATGAATGGACTGGGGAAGAAAAAGTTAAACGAGTAGTTAATTATTTAGAGGATTCAGCCAAAGCTTGGTACAAGCAAGAGGTTGAACAGTTCAAGAAAATAAAATAACCTGGCCTGATTCTGTAGAACAGCTAAAAGATACCTTTTTACCATCAAAATATGAAGATTTTATCATTGAACAATTAAATGATCGAAAACAGAAAAATAGTGAGCCAGTTACAAAATTTATTATCGATGTAAAAGATCTCTGTTTGAGACTGAATGCCAATATGGAAGAATCCGAAATTATTCGGTATCTTTTTAGAGGAGTAAAACCAAGTTTGAAATCAGCTCTCTATGCTGCTAAACCTACAACTGTTGCCGAATTTCGGGAAACTGCAAAAAATTTAGAAAAAGGGAATCAGTCTAGTTCTAGTGACGATGAACTTTCGAAATTAAAAGAAATGGTAAACGAATTATATGATGGACATAGGAATAGAACTAGATATCGTGAACCTCGAGTTTATCAGACCGCAATGTTACAAAACACTAGAACACTTGATAACCGCCCCGTCTGTTATTATTGTAATAAAACTGGACATGTCCAGATTAATTGCCGTAAAAAGCAATATGATGAACGAATGAATCAACCAAATCGACAAAATTATAATCCGCCGCGAAATTACCCTCGGCCGAATTATAATGGTCAATCCTATCATAGGTCTGACAATACTTATGGTCAAAGGTACCATAGGTCTGATAATACTTACGGTCCACCTTATCATAGGTCTGACAACTACCACAATCCAAATTTTCATAGGTCTGACAACTATACTATTCAGCCTTCTCATAGGTCTGACAACTGTCTCAATCAGACTTACCCTAGGTCTGACAACAAAACTCCAAACTGATTAAACCAAGTTTACCCAAGAACTCATCCTAATTCAAGAATCAACCCTGAATTAAATCAATCTTCCAGTACCCAACCAAACCATACTTCGTTCAACCCACAACCCATCCAATCTCACCCTAAGCACCAACTCCCGTCAGACCAGGTTTCCAATTATCAAGCACAATGTTTACCAGAGGATATAAACTACATTGATAGGATCCAACTGGACTGGAATAACATGACCATTAATGACCAAGCCAGCAAAAAGGAAATGGTTAAGTCTGATAGATTCATGATTAATAAATCTGAATTCAATTATGTTAACCATGTTTATTATGATAATAATGAAGGAATTGTACCGTTAGATTTTCCTAACCTTGATAATACTAATCAACCGTTTGATAATAATCAAGTTAATTGCGAACAAATAATGTATAAAAATTATAATTGTCCTAAAAAAATGTAAAGCGATGAGCTCAGGCCTCGCTTTTCGCAGGACTGACAAGAGTGAACTGAAGGAACAAGCGCAAAAGGAATGAATTTTAATTTAATTAATTTAATATTTGTATTGGTCTGACAGTATAAATTGAGTTAAGTTAAGTTGAAATGAGTAATTAACTAATTAAATCTTACAACACCATATGAAATCTTTTATACTCTATATTTAACCTCAAAATGCAAAAAAAAAACAAAAAAAATCGTATTGTAATCATGCCTGAAATCTTGTAGATTGCATAAGGTCTATTTAATCACATTGTACTCAATAACAAACAGGATTAAGCAAAATAGTAAAGAATAATGTCAAAAAAAACGAGAAGAATCAAATTGAAAACTGATGAATGTACGAAGTAAACGAAGAAACTAAATTTCACACAAAGAAGCTATAGAAATGAATATGAATGGATAAAGAAAATAATTCAGCCGAAAGAGGCTTCGGCTTTAACAAGTTGGGGAGGATGTAAGAATCTGGAATTTTGAGGATTATTTGAAAGTACCGATTTCCAGTGTAAATCTAAAATCCTTTTTTATTTAATGATTCTAAGAAACTGACGGTATGACTAGGCCTGGTAACTGATCTTAGGATCAAGAAATACTAAAAAGTTAAAGAAGTAAATAATAAAATCTGTCAAATCGTTATGCATTGAAGTTAAATTTATGTGAGAAGAAATAAGAAGAAACTAAGAGGTCACGTAAGCCAGGTCTACGTAGGTCAGACCTAGGCAACGGTATAAAAAGAGAAAAGAGAAAAAGAGAAGTCAGTCCTGACCCAATGGAGGTCTCGGCTCGTCTCTACTAAGTAACTTTAAATTTTGGTTAATAAAACTTTGTATTGTGTTTCGAATATTGAAGAATTAAAATAATGTGAAGTTCAAAAGTTAAAAGTTCTCTTGCTATTTAATTTAATTCTCTGTTTCATCTCAGTCCTTTGATTTCTCACTTTTACCAACGTCATAAGTCTGACAGTAATGTCACTATCTCACCATTTTATCCTCACCAATTTCCCACCTTACAATACACTACTTTACAATACACTACAATATGTACTTTACCCTAAAAGACGATATAAGGAAAAAAAGAAATCAAAGCCAGATAAGGAAGATGTAATATTTCTCAATCCAGAAGAAGAATTGCTTGATGAATGTGCGGATTATCGTTATGAGTTTGATGTTTCCAATTGAAAGAACTGTCGAGGAACGGGAGTTAAAGCTGAAGCGTTTTATTTAACTATGATATAGGTTGACAATGTGGGTTGACTAAAAGCTTATTAACCAAAGTATTATAATGTTAAAACTATTACAATGTTAACGATACAATAATAGTTAAAGTTATTGTGAGGGTAACAATATGGAGAGGTGAAAGGGACCACCGGAGCCAGGCTTTGACTCTATCGGTGGTTTGGAGTGTAATAGAAAGGAAACTGGACGTTAATCATAATGAACTAACAAGGGAAGTAACCTCGTTGGTACGGGCAGATCAAAATGAAAGTGGGTTTAATGGAAAGCCCGTACCAGAAAACCTCTAAAAACATTAATCTCCCATGGAGAAAATCGATCTGAAAAAAGTTACAGGGTCTCAAATGTTTTAATCACGGAGGTCAAAATGATTAATAAAATCGAAGTAGAGATGGATATTTTTATCAAAATAAACTATTTAGGTGTAATTGATCATGGGGGATGCAAATCTGAAATCAGTTTATTTCTAAACTTTTTTGTTTTCGAAAAAATCGCAAAAAACCACGAAAACACTCGATAAAAATTTCTGGATAAAATTCAAATATGAAAAAAAACTTTCTTTAAAATGAAGCTTCAATACAAACATTTATGTGGTTTTTTGCTATTTTTTCGAATTTACGGCCCTGTAACTTTTTTCAGATCAATTTCCTCCATGGGAGATTAATGTTTTTAGAGGTTTTCTGGTACGGGCTTTCCATTAAACCCACTTTCATTTTGATCTGCCGTACCAACGAGGTTACTTCCCTTGTAAGAAAACTAATCCAAATGCATCCTTTAAAGATTCTGATCCCTAAGGTATCTTTTAACCACCGTTGAATCATATGTTACTGTTTTCAAAATTATTTCTCAAGTTTATTTATAATTCTGTGATTATCATGGCTCCAAGCAAAAGGGATGAAGATGATCTCGATTCTGAAAGTCAATCAAATGATTCTTCAAGATCTTTTAGATAAAGTGAAACAGAATTGGCCAATTCGAATGACAGAGGAGAATTGTGAAGAAATTGATGAAGACAAGGAAGATAGCGATTATGACGAAGAAAT